TATATATATATACACACTATATATACTTGGAGGGGCTGCAAACATCTCTACCTATCTATGTGGTACTGCTACCAACTAATATACCTCAGCCCCTTGAAAGCTGAGCGCCCTGGCGGCTGTATCCAGCTTCGTCAGTACAGCAAAGTTGACGGGCCATAGCAGCATCAAAGCCCACCTAACAGCTCAGCACTTACGACGGGTATGGAAAACCAAAAAAATGTTTAAGAAAAAATTCGTTTTATGGTTCATGATGTTAAGTTTTTGGATCCTTTTTCGGATGCTGTTTTCTTTCTGAAAGAGTTTTGGCATGTTCACCGCAATTTGGTTGCTGTGGGTTTGGAGCTCACACACGATGCCGTCTGCTGCATGGAATGTTAGCCAGGATTTTGACTCATATCTTTACCATCCTTCAATGGCGGCCCATGGACCGGCATGGAGATGCTTGAACACTATTGAACATGGTTCAAAACATCCTGACGTGTGATATATATATATATATACACACAAACATTCACTGAGTAGACGTAGTTTGGCCACATTTCAAAGCTTTCCATTTTCAAAAAAACCGTGGCAATGAAATTTCAGAAGGATCTTGAGCCTCAGTGGATTCACTGGATTCACTAGAACGGTTGTCGTACTGACCAGCAACCAAAGCTAAGATCATGTTATAAATAAATAAATAAATATATATATATATATATGTAGATATGTATATATATATGGTTGTTGATCAAAATTCCTTTATCCCGGAACGGCCATTCTTCGCGAATAAACATTTTACTTTCGCGAAACTTTCGCGAACTCCATGTTTATCTTTCGCGGGGCCCATGTTGGCCAACAACACCTCATATGAAGATTCGCTCACCACCTGCCAAATTACGCCAGAGAATCACGGATCACTTCTTGGCAGCCTTTTAAACATGCAGCTAGCATCACGGAATCCCTTCTCAGGACAGATTTTTTTTGCAAAATTTACTGGCCCACCCCCTTCAACATGCACTTTGACTTTCGCCCGCTCTTTCGCATAACTTTCGCGGAACTTTCGCGAAAATATCCCTATTCACAGACCCCGGCCATCAGCAGGGGGTGCACTGAAGGAAAAGCGAAGACCAGGGGCCTTGAGGTGTTTGGCTCTCGCAAAGCCTCACTTTTGGAAACTTGGCTACTGCTACTCGCATTCTCTGGTGCCCTTCTCCTGCCGGACCCCGGGCGGCAGTGGGTGGCAGCCCTTTACATATAATGATTATAATACCCAACTTTCGCGAAACTTTCGCGAAATAAAATTTTACTTTCGCGAACTCGAAAAAAAACTTTCGCGAGGGTTTCCAACATAACACGCACGGCTTTCGCAATTAAAACTCCTTACAAGGACCTTTAGATCGATCACCATATATATATGCGGAATATCCACCAACTTGGGACCCCAAGAAACTCTAAAAATCCCTTGAAATCTCCACAAACATCCACCATCATGGCTCCAGGGTGTGCTGAGATCCGAGCCCTTGCCATAAAGCTGTTGCGAAGTTCACCATCTCTAGGTTTAAATCACCCTGGACAGTGGCTATAAACATGGTAGGGGAAACCTACAAGAATTGAAGATCATCCGAAACATTGGAATACATGAGAATACACGTAAAAATGGGTCCGTCGATACTAAATATCACATAATATGACACATTTCTGTAGGTCCCAGGTTCCAAGATTTCGACTCGGACATACCCAACACAATGCAGGGATGCTTCTGCAGCGATTCCTCTGGTGGACACGTAGCTGATGTAGCTAGGGATTGGGGGCTGCCTCCACCAATATATTGATTCCCCAAGTCCACCAAACATCGGGCATTGTCGGTTTCACCAAGCGATAAACATGGCAGTCGTCACTTGGGATCATCAACTCATTTTTCCGAGAACAAGAATAACAAACACATGAAACCACCAAACAGGTCATATACCCATTACACCCTGCTTTTGATTGTCTATCTCAGTCTATCTCCCCAATTTTGAAAGAAGATAAGTTCTGACAGCTGTTCAAATTCACATATTCTGTGTATATATCAATCTGTGTAGACATATCCAGTTTTGGTTGGTGATATCCCCATCCATCCACATTCTCCGCAAAATCTGATGCCTTTTTGTGCCCATTCTCCCGACGCCATTGCTTGAAGCGAACGAAGGCCAGCTCCTCAACACGCGAAGCTCAGCGAAGATCCCCAGTTTTCTGCTGAAAGCGAGGAATTCTTGAGGGGTCATCTCAATATCACCAATATGCAATACAAACATAAGTTGATTGATGTTGATTGGGAAAATATCCCCAGTCTTAAATGGACAACGCGAGGGAAAACGGTGGAAAACCTCCCCAGGGACTGTCGACGCCTTGAGCACCAAGGAGAAGGAGATAAAGCCGTAGGACACGAAAAGACCAATCGCCCAATAGATACCAAAAGCCTGGCACGCCAAAGGGTTGGTTCCAAGGGGGTGTTTCCTAGTACAATTGTCTACATGTCTAGTGATGTCTAGTGTATATATAATGCACCAACGAAAGTCCTGGGATCCTCAGGAGAACAAAAAATAAAACCGTCAAGCAATAGGTCCACAGTTCTATGTACCGAGTAGTTTCGCAAATGGCTGTAGGTTTCAACCTCTACAGAAACTCTCCATGCCGCAGGTTCTCCGCCTTCACTGGATCATCACTGAAATCAGCAGTCAAGTTGGGCCTCAAAATCCAAGACACCACAGTGGCGGGGCCCCATGGGCAGGATCGTCCTGTTTGGACCTCCAGTTGCAACAGCTACAGCCACAAAATAAGTCAGCAATATCCCAGAATCACAAATTATAAAAGAGTCAAAGAAAATGGTGGATTGGTATAGATAAGTATCATCATTTTTGAAATAATCATTTTATCCAGGTATGAATATTGTATCTTCATTATATAAATATTCATAATGAATAGGTATAACAGGTATCCCCATTTTGACCAGCATTGACCCACGGTAGCTTACTGGTCACCCCTGGGATGTCCTGCTTATGGCTGGAACAACTGGGGCCCCCTGGCCAGGTACAAATGCCCACCCCTGTGGCCACCACCACGACTCCAAGAACCTGTCAAACGACATCAACATTCAGCAGCCAATGTTTGATGGTCATTGTTTCATGAGGATACATGATTTTTTTTGATGATAAAATTATGTCAATTTGGATACATCATCTGGAAACACTGAAACAAAATGATGAAATCTCCTGTAAACACAAGTGGTGGAAGGACAAGTCGGTGTGCAACTGTGTACGCGATCATCGCGGCAGTGGCACGAGGTGGAATCGGCCGCCTGCTTTTTTCGTTCCTTTGGCAGTGACTGAAGGTCTCTGCAACTCGTTAACACTACCACTAGGAGCAAGCCATTCAAGCGAGTCGGCAAATGATCAAACTTCAGCAACTGGCTGGGAACGAAAGTTACAATCCATTTATAAATGGGATAATCCCACTTAACTAGGGGATTTAAATTTACCTCTAGGTTGGTTTCCAAACAACCAGTCTTCATCACAGGTCGCTTTGGCCAAACTCCGAGATCCGACAGGGTCTGCCTTTTGCAGCTCTGTCGGTGGGGCTATGTGAAGAAGTGATTACCCCTTGGCCGGGCAGTGGACCATCATTTCAAAACCAACTATTGGTAACTATGAAACACTGCAAATCCCATGGGACTGTCGTGGGATGTTTACCATCTACCAACTGCTGCAGGATTTCAAAACCATCCACAGTATGTCGCCAAAAAATGCTATCATTACATGGGTTGGTTTTCAGGTGATCTATTTCCTTTGAAGAGAGAGGTCACGGGACCCGAGGGTTGATTTCATCCACGGTCCACGGGTAGGCTTCGGACTGGTTGCCCGGGTGACACGGCATTCTACCAGGCCCCACCTTCCCTATGTCACTAGAAAAAACAACGTCTCCACGCCCAACGCCTGGCAGTCCAGAAAGACCATGATGTGGCTGGAAAGGGGACAACTTCGAAAGGTTTGGAACAAGTTGCTGGGGATGGAGGCAGTGAAAAAATGTGAAAAGATATGAAAAGGTGCTTTTCGAAGTGCTGACTCCCCCTTAAAACGACAAACTCATGATGTTTAGCTCTGTAGATCCGGTCTGAAGTCGACTTCAAATGCCTATAGCGCCTTCACCACTCTTTGCCCCAGTGCAATGTTGTATTAGAAGCGAAGGGAACTTTAGCAAAGGAGGATGAATGTCATATATGTGAAATGGAGAACTGGAATCCTACACAATACAAACCGAAGCAAGAGTATCTTCTCATTTGTGGGGTCATCGAACTTCAAATGTGGCAATGCTCATCCTGAAAACCGCGTCTGGGTGAATGCTATGCTCTGCCTGGAAGACCTGAAAGGTGCCAAGAAACAGGTCAAGACACAAAGGAACCGTCAGTTCAGTGATATTTCATATGTATGTATTTTGCATAATATCATCATATGTTTACTGTTTTGATCCATTTATATCCATTTAGCGGTTTCAATCTCCTGATGAAGCATTTATCTGGAATTTCCCCGGGCTGTCCCCACCTTTCGCCCGCGCGGATCATCTCACCTGAACATGAGAGTGTTCGAACTGGCCCAGTATGGATCACCACTAAATCACTAAATGAACTGACTCGTGGCTCATTTAATGGTGATTTAGTGGTTGGTGATTTGGTGGTGCTCCATACATCACATTTTGATAGTTCATCACATTTTGACCTTGGCTTAAGTGGAAGTAGAGAGTAGAAGGCTCCCCCAAGATCTCTTGCATGTGGCTTTTGCGTCCTGACATGCGGCAACCCATGAAATTGTTCTACATAGTCGCAATGAATCTACAAGTATCTCGAATTTTCGGATTCTGCAACTGCTCCGGGGATTTGGGGCCCCAAAAAATAAGTATCGCAAAGCTACCTGTTTTCCAAATTGACTGTAGAGTCCATAACCCAAACATACCCAAACATGATCTACTGTGGTAGTCAGTTTTCATGCCATGATTGTGCCGCCCCTGTTAAAGAGTTGGCCGCAGCTTTTGGCCTCTTTGGAAATTTTCAACTCGTGCTTGAGGTATTCAATGGCATCCGACATCTCCTGGCCGATCATAGCATTCCATATGGCATGCATCCAGTAGGGCCATGCCGTGAAACAATGGCTGGATATTCGAGATCGTAGCGTCCACCACAGTCCACCATTCTTTGGAGGCCCGTTTTTTGTTGTGATGGTCCCACATCTGGACACCCCCCGCCTGGATCTTGTTGTGCAAGTCATCTCTTCTGTCCAGAATGTGTCGTGGCTCAGCGCCCTCCACGAAGACATAGAAGAGAGGCACACAAACCAAGAGAATCCTCAAGAACAAACGGAGTTGTTAGGATCCGAACATGCAAACGATCCTTGGCAAACACAATTGGCCTGAAGAAACATTGGGACACTTAGGCCACTCCCATCCAGACTTTCTATTTCTTCGCAGGGCATTTTTGGAAACAAAGTCCCACAATCGTTATCAACAAAACCAGAAAAAAATAAATCACAGGCTGCAACTTGGACAGTACTCAACGGAATCATGTCCAAATTTAGGTTGCCAATGGCATCCCATCAGTGCATCAACACACATCAGTGAGGCAAAGGGGGCTGGCAACCAGAGAGGATCCTGTAGGCTGTGATCACCGTCACAAACACCTAATATCCATTCTGGTCATAGATCACTTAGTTCATTCGACGATTTCAAGGTGTCCTTTTCCTTTCTTTTCCATGTCTGTGACAGAAATTTCTTGGCTCCCACCAGAATCCTCAGAGTTTCACATCGGGTGTGATGTCCTCCTGTGCCCTTTAATTCACACTGTGGGGGATCTGTGGGTGTTTCCCCACCCGCAAATGACTCACATGACAAGCGGCATCAGGATTTGTCTCGCCACAGTGTAGACACTGCAATGCCAGGCATCGCCACATTCATCGTCACTGGCAATGCTGGAGCCATCATGGCCTGGTGACATCGGGGATTATTGGTTCCACCGATCTCCGTCATCTAAGGGTTGCAAGTAATGACTAATGCAGTAGGCCATGTAGTGAACCGAGACAGTTTGTACTTTCCGTTTCTATACATGTCTGGTAAATTGAGCGTGGTTTACTATTGCCAGGCCCATGTCTTTACACTAAAAGAGGACAAACACTGAGCGGTCAAAGCGAGGCTTTTGCCGTGACAGCTCCTCTTTTGAGACTGGAGATTTCTAATGGAAACCTTTTGGTTGCTGAGCAGCCTTTTTTCAATTGGAATGTCAGAATGTTTTGGTTGCTGAATCCGTCTGTTTGGTCGCGGAATCGGTAAAAGGTAGTTGCAGAAGCGGATTTTATTCTCACTGAGAGCCCGACATCCATCTTCAGCATTTTCAAGCCTCCGCTGCTCTTCCTCTTGACTTCCTCATGAACATCGGCCGTGGTCGCGGGTGGTCATTGTGTTGCTTGGGATCGGAATCCACAACCATTGAACTCAGCCAGTGCGCTCTTGGTAGAGAATTTCTCATCACTCCTTCACGTTTTCCCTCAAATAGGAGTACCAAGGCTGGAGTACATATGTGTTTGTTTCTGTATGAATAATTGCAGGAATGATTGATACATATTTTACATCTTGCTTCAAACACATTGAAAATGCTAACTTCATTCCTTAAGGCACGACGTGCCGGAAGAGTTCAACTGGTCGGATCCCCGCGGACGGCAAGCATCGGATGTCGTTATAAAACGTGCCAAAGAGATCCGAGTCCCACTGCTCTTCCAGAAAACCCAGATCACCATTGACCTGGCAATGGAATTTCCGGAATGCTGTGGAACTGCAAATTTGAAATTCCAGTTGTCACAGCTTTCAACTTTTGGATCGCAAGGCCATGCAGCTTCAACAATGGCCTATGGTATCGGCAAAAGTCTCTCCCATTGAGTTTGGCACATCATCCAATCTGAACAGGAATAAGAGCGCAAAGGCATCGAAAATGATGTCCTTGGCGGTGTACAAAACGCAGCGGGAAGCAGGTAGCTCGTGGGTGCCCTAGGATATTTCGCCGTTGCATTGCCTTATGGTCCAAGAACGTGCTACACATCTCTGCGAATTTCTTTAAGACCTTGGATCCTCAGTGTTCATTGATCGTTCGCAGAAAACACCAGAAGGCCGGTGAAGTTGGCGCCACTTATTTTCGACATCGTTTTAGCACTGTTCACGCATTTCAGAGGCTCAGGCGATTTTGCATCCAAGGCTCTTTTGGACTCTTTGAGAGCATAAAGCAAGGAGCCATACAAATGGCTGAAATCACTACGCACCAACTGTTGATCATTGCACCAGCTCGCAGCCAGAACCTGTTGGTGGGAAGCTCGGTGGCAAACAAACATGCCTACAGCAACACTATCATCATGCTGTACTGTTTCTGTTTTGTATTGTGTGTATATATCATATGTATATTGTACGTATGTATATATATAATATAGATCTGTACAATTCTGTATATCTGTAAATGCTTTTACCTGCAGAACATGTGTGACCAGCCTTTCAAAGTTATGTTGCTATCAGAAACAGGTCGTTAACATTGGACATGGGTGATGCAGAACATCTTGTCTACCTGCAGGTAATAATTGCTTACCACGAAACCGGCTAGAAAAAAATCCAACATCAAATCTTTCCAATATTTTGAGTTTGTTCTAAGCACCTTCTGGAGATTTCAGTTGGATTTGGTCTTGAAAAGCGGCAACATTGTGTCTTGTAGTCGAACGTAATCAAGGTGCATACAGGAACCTCCTAATACATGGGTGCCACATGCAAACACGTCAGCAATATTCATACATCACTTGCATACTTCCCTCATCTTCCCTCCATCGTCGGCTGAGGTTTACACCTTTTTACGGTGCCGTGGCTGCTCTTTTGAAACACTTTGACCTCAACGGCAGCATTTGAAAACACAACAGCGACGATGCGTGCTGCAGCTGTCACTGTGCAGCTGCAATGACTAGACGGTCCCAAGACTGTAGTGCCCAAGGTAAGTCCATTAAAAGCCCTGGCAGAACTCTGTGACAACTGGTTCAAATTTATGGGTTTATGGCCCGAATGGTCGTCGAACTGCTTCCACAAGCGGCTACATACCAAATCTTCTCGGATTTCTGCTTGTCGTCCCGGATGACGTATATGCCATTCCTCAGCGCCGACTACCATGGGCTCATCCCTAGTCCTCTCGCAACATGGGATGTTCAATAGCAGCGGACGCAAACCCAAATCATGATTTTTGAAGGCAGAACATGGCAGACACAAGACATTCCAGGAGAGTTTCACAGTTCATAGCCTGAATCTGCTATCAGGACTTTGCCACCAAAACCATGGCGGTGGCATTGGAATGATGGAGGATTCATACCAAAATCAGTTGGCTGACTGAACAAAGCATAGCTTTTAAAGACACCAGGATGTAGTGCTGCCAAGAATCAAAATGAAGATGAAAAGGAAGAAAGTACCTCTAGGTCGAAGCAATCCAGGGTCCGTTGCATTTCAGTCGGGCTTCACACTTGTCTTTCGATCTATTCCATCAGGTGTTTTACCGAAACTGCACAAAACGTCACAAGACAGAGTTGAATTGAACAAAGCCCGAAGCCCCTAGTGGTAAGTTGGTTGGTCATCACATTAATCTTGGTTTATTTCTGTACTAGGACATATATATATAGTCATCCTGAAGTAGATAGAATATCGGAAATTTTCAAAAAGGAATTTTTCAAAAAAAAATAAATAGTTGGAATATTTTCAAAACCCTCAGTTTTTACACGTTTTTCGTCTTTGTTAAGTCATTTTTAGCCAGTTTTGGACACGGGTCTGGGGAAATTTTGAAAAATACAAAAATCAAACAACACCAAAAAATAGATAGAATATTGTTTCAAACCAGGTAGATAGAATATTTTGAGGGAATTGTGAACACCACGCGCAGACCCCACAGCAGCTTGAGACTGTTTTTCCACAGGATATTCCACCATATTCCACCTACCTACCCCTCCAAACCATATTCCAACTACCAGTTTTCGACCTCCCCGGGGGGGGTCGAAATATTTCAACTACCTGTTTTTTTTAAGTGGCCGACATCCAACATAATTCCAACATAAATCCCGCACCCTCCAAAAAAATATTCTATCTACTTAAGGATCACTCTATATATATATGTATACATATACACATACACTGGCTCAATGTGGATCACGACACTCCAAAATGTGTGAACCATGCAGCCGAGGACACCCAGAACTTGACAGGCAAAGTTAGAGACTCCTCTCTCATAGCTTCCTGCCATCATGTCCACGAAACTGGATGCAGCCAGCAATCGTCGTCAGAAATCCTCAATCTTGGATGATCTGCTAAAATGGCTATTGATATTGACAGATATCTTTGATTATATTTGTAGGCTTCAGATGATCCTTTTCTTTGCCCCCAAAAATTCTGCACCACTTCGAACCCAAAAATTCGCATCACTTCGCAGTGGATATTTTCAAAGTCGAACTTCCAACAGTTGAGGCCATCCTGCCATCAGTCCTGGAATATATTCCCAGCTTCCAAGGCCTACGCGCGCATTTGTCCAGTTGATAGCCTCAGAGTTTTCATCCCAGGGGTCTGCAGAGGGGTCCTGCGTCCAAGGTATCCCAGGGGCATTGCAATTGTGGCTGCACCTCTCAAATATGTCAAGAACACCCAAATGATCCCAAATGATCTTAACATAAATGTCTGGATTATGTAGGAGACTGCTTGTTCGGGAAGACGCTTTCTGATTTTCTTGACTATGCACCGTAAATCTCTGATGCAGAAGCTGTTGGAACCACCTTCCAATTCAGCTTCGTTTTTATCACCCTCTTTCACGAAGACAAACCCACTGAGCTGTTCAAATTCAAAGGTTCAACTTGCAGAACGCCAAGAAGGCTCATGTATCTACTGTGAATTGACGGGTGACCATGCCCGAAACAAAGCAAGAACTTTTGCCAGTTGCTTCTTAGCTGCTAACCTCATACCTGGTGGTCCAAAGATCATTCTCCCCCAACCCCAAAATTTTCACCCTGCAGCATACACGCTCCAAATCAGAATAGCAGGTGGGCCCAAGATTTGGACCTTGGCACGGAGACTGACCTTGAAAGGTTGGTGGATTGGCTTTGCCACACCAGCACGGTGTTTGAGGTGGCTCTTGGGTGCCTGCTCAACACTCGCTCAGCAGCCCTTCTGTTCCGTACTCAATTTCGGTTTCGACCCATGATGGTTTTTCGCTCATGAATTCATGGAAATCTACGGAGATTTCCCCCCAAAGATGGCACCCAACAATGAGGTCTTTCGAAGGGGTCACTTATATTGACTTATCCCCTATCTATCTGAAAATTGGGGTTTGCTTAACCTTTGGTGAATTCCTTTAATTTCTCATTCTACACCCCTTTGGTGACTTCTCCGTGTTTCATCATTTTTCATCCTTCCCTTGTTTTTTTTCTGATGTTTACTACCTTCTTTGCTACAACCCGAAAAACAAAAATACACTCAGACAGTCCAGGCGCAATCATCACAAAGACGATACCCACCTGCAGCACTTTGTTCGAGGAGCCCTGGCGGAAACCCGGGAGATGCCTGGAGGATTGAGCTAAGCTAACCTGGCTGGGAAATCCCCATTCCTAAATGGGAAAACATCATGTGTGTATATATTCAATATAATATAAATATATACTGTATACATTTATTTTTACACCACTTATATTTGTATCTGTATTCGTACTTATATTTATATCTATATGTATATCTATATTGGTATTCATATTGATATTTATAGACCTTTATTTATATATATATATTGGATATATATTGGTACTTATATTCAAATATATATATATATACATATTGGTATTCATACTTAGTTTTCATATTTACCTTTATATTTACAGATTCATCTTTATTTTTATATGCACATTATACGAAATAAATATATATATATACACATACACGTATATATATATTTACTTATCGATACTTATCGATACTTATCGATACTTATCGATACTTATCGATACTTATCGATACTCATCGATACTTATCGGTACTTATCTATACTTATCTATACTTATCTATACTTATCTATACTTATCTATACTTATCTATAGTTATCTAAATATATCCAAAAATGTATTGACATCTACAAATACATGTATGTTTTTTTGTAAATCTATATGTACATTTATATGATTTATGTCTATATGTATATGCATATTTATATATATATAGGTAAATGTATTTATATATATAGATGTCTATATACACGTGTATGTATATATGTCTATGTCTATGTCTCTATGTGTATATGTGTGTGTGCGTATATGTATTTATGTTTGTACATCTATCATAGGTTTCCGCACCAGGCCAACTGGCTACTGCCTGCCCTGCCCAGAGGGCCTCTGCTCGTATCAGCTTGTGTTGCAGCAGAACATCGTGGAAGGCCCAATAGGTGTAAATATTGCCATGGATCTTGGTATCAGCCTGGCAGGAGCTGAAACTCTGTGTGACACTGTGACGCATGTGCTGAAAAATGATCTCCGACTCGAAGAATAGCAACTGGGATATAACATTGTCTGCCTAGATTTTGATGTTTTTATGTGCAACACCACATCCTCACGGATATTGAACAGGACATTCAGTTCTGTGTAAAAAGGTGCTTATTTTCTCTGTGCTGGTCACCAGAAGGCTCAGTACTTATTGACGAGTTCTGAAAAACCAATTATCACTATATATAAATATAAATATAAATATATATACATATCTACACATATATACCTATATGTTGATGTATAAATAAATATGTATATAGATATATATATATATATATATGTATAAATATGCATGTATAAATATAAATATAAATATATACATATATATATGTACAAATATATATATATATATATGTATAAATATGTAAATATATATATATATGTACATATATATATATATGTACATGTAAATACATATATATACATATAAATGTAAATGTATATGTATAAATATATATTTATAAATGTATAAATATTTACATGTGTCTAAATATAAATATAAAAATATATATAAATATATATATATAAAAATATAAATATATATAATAAATGTGTATAAATATAAATACATATGTATATAATATGCATATGTATATATATATGCATATGTATATATATATATACATATGTGTTTGAACAAATATATATATATATGTGTGTATAAATATAAATATAAATATATATATATGTACAAATATATATGTCTAAATATATATATATGTGTAAATATATATATGTATATGTATAAATATGTATGTATATATATATATGTACATATATATATATATGTATGTAAATGTATGAATAAATATATATATATATGTATATGTATATATGTATGTATAAATGTATATATATATATACATTTGTATATGTATATGTATAAATATATTTATATATATGTATATATATATATATGTATATATATATAAACACTCACAACCCTCTTTTCTTTCGCTATGCAAGCCAATTCAGTCAAATAACATAGGGAAAAACGGAAGTGGTTTTGTCCTTATCAAAAAAGGGGCCCCGATATTCTGTGTTCACGCCAGACCGGAACAGAGAATACCCCCCAAGTGCTACCTAGCCCCCCGCCAAGCCGGGGAACACTAGGCCTCTAGCACAGGACAAAGAAAAATGACTGAGATCGACGAAAAAAAGGAAAAGCCCCATTGAGAACAGCTCACATTTTTTCTTTGTGAGGCTTTCTTAGCCTTTGAAGTTCTCTTTCCACGTCCCCCTGCACTGCTCTTCAGAGCGGGCTCAAGCATTCGGTGGGATCGTAGAAAATTATCATCGAAGGAAGTTTAGAAGTCAAACTTCCGACAATATGGAGAGATGAAAAAGCAGTCAGCAGGGAGAAGAGTCAGAAGAGAAAAGATCAGAAGAAAGAAGATGCAGGTGCGCGAAAAGGTAGGAAAGTCGCGAAACACTGTGTTTTTTCGTGGTTTTGTGGCTCCGGAGGGTTAAAAAAGTAGGCTCGCTAAATCGGCGGGTGCGGAGCCAGCTGGCCAGATGAGAGATGAAAAATTGCACGCCGTTGTGGCGCGAAGCACATTTCCAAGTCAAAATGTACAAAACACCTCAGCGCCGGACCACTTTTGGAAGTTGAGATGTCGAAAAAGTGCACGCCGTTGTGGTGCGAAGCACATTTCGAAGTCAAAAACTACAAAACACACCAGGTCCGGACCACTTTTGGAAGTTGAGATGTCGAAAAAGTGCACGCCGTTGTGGCGCGAAGCACATTTCGAAGTCAAAATGTACAAAACTTTTGGAAGTTGAGATGTTGAAAAAGTGCACGCCGTTGTGGCGCGAAGCACATTTGGAAGTCAACATGTTAAAAACACTAGGGGTTCGGACCACTTTTGGAAGTTCAGATCTCGAAAAAGTGCACGCCGTTGTGGTGCGAAGCAGATTTTGAAGTCAAAATGTTCAAAACACTAGGGGTTCGGACCACTTTTGGAGGCTCAGATGTCGTTTCGCTTCGCTTCACTACACTACACTACATTACACTACACTACACTCCACTACACTACATTACACTACACACCACAACACTACAACTACAACTACACAACTACACTCCACTACACTCCACTACACTCCACTACATTAAATTACACTACGCTACGCAACATTACATTACACTACACTCCACTACTCTACACTACAATACACTACACTACACTCCACTACACTACACTACATTACACTACGCTACACTCCACTACACTACACTACATTACACTACGCTACACTCCACAACACTACAACTACAACTACACAACTACACTCCCCTACACTCTACTACACCAAACTACATTACACTACACTACACTCCACAAAACTACACTACACTACATTACACTACACTACACTACCTTCCACTACACTTCACTACATTACACTACACTACACTACACTACACTACACTCCACCACACTACAACTACAACTACAACTACAACTGCACAACTGCACAACTACACTCCACTACACTCCACTACACTCCACTACATCCACTACATCCACTACACCAAATTACATTACACTACACTACACTCCACAAAACTACACTACACTACATTACACTACACTACCTTCCACTACACTTCACTACATTACACTACACTACACTCCACCACACTACAACTACAACTACAACTACACTCCACTACACTCCACTACACTCCACTACACTACATTACACTACACTACATTACACTACACTACACTACACCACACTACACTACATTACATTGAATGACACTGCACCACAGATAGACAGGTAGACCGATAGACAGATAGATAGATAGATAGATAGACAGCTAGACAGCTAGACAGCTAGACAGATAGACAGAGGAAAGGGAGAGAGAGAGAGAGAGAGACAGAGAGAGAGAGATAGATAGATAGATCGATAGATAGATAGATAGGTAGATAGATAGATAGATAGGTAATTAGATGAAAGAGAGAGAGAGATAGATCGATAGATAGATGGATACATAGAAGATAGATAGGTAGGTAGATAGTCAGAGAAAGAGAGAGAAAGAGAGGAGACCTCAAGCACCTTTCGGTCCATCAGTGGATTCGCTCTGCCATCCCTGATTCACAACAACCAAGCTCTCCTATAGGTTTCCTATTTTTGAAACTTCCGCCACCGCCTTGTGCGGTACTACAGGTAAATGAGGTGAAACGGACGAAGCAAGTGAGGCCCTATCTTGAGTTCAGCCAGCAGGGCCAGACCAGAATTCAAATAAATTTTTGCGGTCTTAACAGCGGTCCAGCGACCAAGAATCAGGACCCTATCTAGCGACCCAACCTTAACAAAAAATGAGGTTGCTCCCTCCTCCTCTACGCAGGAATAAGGTCTAAAACCCCAGTCTTCAATCTTTAAAGAAATTAGGCAGTCAGCGAAAAGCTGCCTCCACACATGGGGCTTGGGGGTCAAAAACGCAAATTGCGAAGCAGATTGCTTCCAGCTCCACAAGAGCTTCAGTACCGGAAGTTCTGAGATGGTCACACTCTCTGCCGCGCCTTGGCGTTTGCCAGATTTCGTAAGCCCCAAACTGATGACCGCTGACTGGGAGCTGGAAGTCATGTGGACCCGCCAGGCCTGTAAAGACAGGAGCTCCCCTGTACGCAAAAGACCATAGTATCCAACCAGGAGACTTAGCCCAAAGGTGTGGTGTTCATGGAAGAAAGCCCAACCCGCCACGGCTTTCAAAATTGAGTCAGTCAATGGCGGAGCGCGGTTGGGCACCTCGTTGGCTGTCCATGTCTTCATCAATCTCCATGACATCGGGAGACAGCCTTTGAGCTTTGGATCGTAGTCTTGAAGTGCAGCGAGGAAATTGCTTGCTTTGGCACGTCCCTCTCCTTCAGCCCAAAGATGTTCTAAATAGTCACCAACGAGAGCATCCATCAAATCCCTTTTGGTAGGTAGTGCTAAGTTCTCCTTGGAAAGAAAACTGAAGAACTCATTGAGGCCCTCTTCATAGCGAGCTTTGGTGCGGGGTTGTACTGTAAGTGACTTGAGTGATCCAAGGTTCTTGCGCTGTAGCTTCCTACTCTCCTTGTCGTGGCTTTTGATTACTTTGGTGCGCGCTTTAGCCATTTGCGCTTCACCCCCCGCCTTGAGGGTTTGTCGGCGGGGTTCTGCTTGGTATCCACGTAAGCCCATACGGGCTGAAGTCCACTGGCAAGGAGGCAGGCATTAAGGCGCATTAGAGTACGCCTCATTTTGCGCGAGGACGATCGTCCCCTGCTCAGCGCATGCAGCACTACAAGGCTGTCAACTAGATGCAAGCATCTTATATCCATCTGGTACAGCCTTTCAATGCGCCATCGGATAGATGTCAATGCTGCTCTCAGTTCCAGCACATTGATGTGCTCGCTTGAATCACTCCATTTCCACCCACACACAGCACTCCATCTCCATAGGCGGGACGGTAAGCACAGCCTCAGGCGATGAAACCTAACCGGTACATCTGTATGATGCTGAACTAGCAGATCTTCTCCATTTAGAGAGACCACTCCGCATAGTTTCTTGACCAACACCTCACTACATGCAAAAGTAGAATGAAGTTGACCACCCAAGCGGTGGTCTAACCAAAAGCCCTTGGAGGGTCTGGCTTCCCCCAGGGGTCAGCCTCTGTACAATTTCATCCACTCCAAGGCGGGGCAGAAAACCCAAAACGTGAAACAAGGAAGACAGTACCCAGAATACCACCGGAACACTCCAAGAGTTCCCTAAAAGGCTAAGCCGACAGTCTCGATGACTCTGTGAGTCGTGGTGAGCTTTTCCCATGCACTGTCTGGTATACCCCGCAGGGAAACCTAGAATTGCCTCGCGCTCCAAGATGCTGGGAGGTCTAAAACCTCCGGGATGGTGAACGCAATTGTCATTGCGATACTGGTATGGCGGGAATCTGTGAAGATCTTCTTTCCAGCGCTGGAGCTCATGAGCACGGCAGGTCTTCAGTCCTGCTGGTCGCCTCAAAGGCACTTCGCTCGGCCGTGATGTAGTGAAAGTGGGCAAAGGCGGTGAAAGGCAGCTCCACCCCGGCTCAAGAAACTGGGAGGCCTCGACCTTGCCAGATAGTCGGACCTCCCCTTGAATTGGTAGTTGTCCATCTGATCCCTATAGGATTTCCACTCTGCACTTGGGCCCAGACGAAGGTCTTCTTTACCAACTTGGTCACCCTTGGTACATGAGTGAAAAGGCAACTTCTATAACCCCTCAACGCCCCACGGCGGTCCGAGTTTAAACCCGACACACCTTGACAGGGCGGGCCTGCCCCCACAATGACAACCCCTGCGCTGCTGTATCTCAGCGCCCACTGCTCCACCAGCTCCTCCGTCACAAGCTCCACGTACCAGGTGTCTGGGAAGTAGCTTTCTACCACTCGCCTGGCATCCGCAAATTTCTCCACGGATATATGTCCTGCCACTGGCAGGCCCAGGGCGTCTAAAGCAACCCTCAGGGCACTGATTCCGTCAAAAGGGCCTATGCTCAGGACTTGGATGAAGTCGTGGGCTTCTGGGAGATCCCCACGCACTGCCCCAGCTGAAGCTGTCACACCATACCGCGTGAGGCCTCTGCTGACGCAGACGCCCCCTCCCGTCGTAGATGCATCGCTGGCAGTAACGCGGCTATCAGCACTCGTCCGCAAATTCATCACTGCCAATGGGAGGAGCCCCACACACCTGGCCAATTCATGGGCTACCTCCCTTTTCAATGGCCGGCGGGCCCCTTTAGGCAGTTCTTCAAACTCCACTATGCTCCTCCAAAGCTGGTTCAGCCCGCACAACATCGGTCGCCGGAACATGGCGATATAGACCTCCCCCGACCACCTGCAACTCACGCTGAGAGCAGTCACCTTGGAGCAACAGCTGACAATCTTGGAGGTTTTGGCATAGACCAGCCCTTTATCGCCATCCACCCAAGCTCCTTGGACCTCAGCCCCCAAGGCCCAGCTTCCTGGTAAGCTCCCCTGAGGACTTGAACTTCTGCAGAAACTTCCCCACTGATGAGCGCCGCGGTGCGTCGATCAACTTTGCACAGCTGATCAAAATTGTCCAGATAACCCCTATAAAGAGTAGGGTGGAGACTAGTCACTCTGTCCCGCCTAATCTCAGACTCAGCTCCTATAGATGGTCTCAATGAACCCATGCAGCGTCTCACCACATTGCGATGAATGTGTTGCGCAATGGCAACGCTGTTCAAGAAACCCATGGGTAAAACACGGGTCACTAAATAGCCCTTGTCACCACCAATAGCCTCATCCAGAATGGATTGGGGGAGTAGTTTACCAAAACCCAAAAAAAACATCCAATGTCGAGGGACCTGGAACAAGTAGAAGAAACACTTGATGTTCTCGCTCGACGTGACCAGCGTCTCATCCTGATCCAGGAAAAGGCTCCCCAAGGCAAGTGGCTGAGGGAAGGGTGTTGGTCTCTCCAGTGAGGGGCCTACAAAGGGAGTTGCAAGGCTTCAAATTCATGATAAGTCTGCAAATGAACTCTTGTTTGCCCACTGCAAATAAGCCATTGAGTAAAGGTCGCCCATGAACATGATGCAATTCACTCTCACGCCAAACCTCGCATAGTCCCTTATTAATGAGCCCACGTGCCACTTGTTCCCAATTGTTAGGATGAATCATAACTGCCTGTGTCTTGCCCAACCATTGCTCCCCCTCAGGAATGATAAACTCCGTGAAATGGTCCACATAGTGAAGAACGCCCCCCTCACAATAGTCTCTTAGCACCAAACTACCAACCTCATCAGGTAAGGAGGGGGCAACAGCATCCCAGCGAATAGGCCGTGCAATTGCAATTAACCTCATCCCCCATGTAATCCAGTGATCGGGTCTTGGAAAACAAGTTTGGGTAGGGGAGCCTCAACAGGTTGGAACTTGAGACCAGCGCAGCCAATCTTTTCAGCACCAAGGAAGCTCCCTTGTTCGCTTTACCTGCTGGAGAAACTGCATGCCCTGACAGGCTGTTGAGCCCAAAAATCAGGGCCTTCAAGAAAATCATAGGTCCAGAGACGTCATCTCGCCGGTCATAAGCTGGTAAGGGGAAAATGTCCGTCTTACCTGCCATGGGCTGGGGCCTGCATAGCACACTTAGATCCTGAGTTAAGTAGATGACACGGCTCATGACGTCCCCCAGATCGCCTACGCACTTCTGCTCGCCAGGCGTGTCGTGCCAGGCAGACATCGCTGCCTTAATTGAAGAGTGAAACTTTTGGGAGGGGGCTCCTGTTGCCTCGCCAGCCCTCCCTTCAGCCAGTGCAGCCGCTTGCGAAGCTCCTGTAATGAGCTCCTCAATGACTTCTGGTGTGAAACTGCTTGCCTCATCGATCTGCCTCTGCCAAATTTCCGCTCCTCTGCCAACGTCAAAACCTGCCTCTGCCTCACCATCACTCCTCTTCTGCTCTGCATCCTGGGCATGGAATCTTCTTCTTTGGCTCAATGGGTGTTCAGGGGAAGGGACAAGATCCCTTATTTCTCTTTTTTCTGCCATGGCCCCTTTTGGTCTTTCTTTCCTTTTCCACCTTTGCCGCGTTGGCCTTCCTCTGATGTACCCTTACCTGAGCCTTTCCATTCCTTGCCCTTCTTACCTTTTGCGCCGCCACCAGCTTCACCTCCTCGAGCGCCTGAAAGCCTGCTAAGGGCCAAGCGAAACCGCTCCTCTTCTCTAGCTTGGCGCGCTGCTTGAAGGCCCTCCGACTCATCTGTTATGCCAGTGGCCTCAGCTCGCACCAGCTCAAGCTGCCGCCCAATCGACCAGTGCGTCCCCTTGGAGATGGTCTCTAAGGATTTCAACCTCTGGGCCAAAACATCGCATCGGAGGGCTCATAGTTTGCGCCAAATGCTGCCGGGTGTATTGTGTTGCAATCGGCGGCAACTCACGGCGGCTGACATCCCAAAGCGTACCGCTCGTGGTCATCAAGTGCTCTCTGGCCTCTGCCATGGCACTAGCCGCCAACGCCCCAGGGTACTTCCTGTAGATGATTTTCATCCGCTTCTCTGTGCTGAAGAGAGATCCTGCAGCATCCAGCGATGTTGAGCTCGAGGATGAAGAGCTCCCAGAGGACCCGCTAGAACTGCTCGAGCCTTGTTTCTTCTTCTTCTTGCGCCCAAGGCGACGTGCCTTCTTCAGCACCTTTGCCCTCACTTTCGGGCTGGGGTCCAAAGCGGTACCTGAGAAGAGTGCACCAGGCTCTTTCTGCCCGGGTCCTCCTTCTTCCACGTCACTTGACGGTTGATATCTCTTGCGAGCTCTTTCAACTTCTGCTCCCTTTACCTTCTGCTCCTTCTTGGACTTCTCCTTCTTCTTTTTCTTTCTCTTGGGAGACTCCTCCTCTCCCTTAGCTTTGCCCTCTGGATGGGCCTCTGCCCTCCGCCGTAAAGCCTGCAGTTCATCCTCTTGAGCAGCTTCTTCTCTGGCATCACCTCCAGCCTTTTCAAGGTTCGTGAACCAGGGCTCCTTTTCTTTTGAAACTTCCTCGAACTCCTTGCCATGCACCAAAGTCTCCTCAGTGACGTTTGCTGCACACTCTGGCCTGCAGACGTGAACGTCCACCCTCCTTGATTCTTTGCCGCTGAGCACTCGCAGCAGCCCTTCGTCTTTGGTGCCCGTTGCAAGGCACTAAGTAGACCTCCCCGTCCGTCGCCTTCAGGGAGACCACTTGCGCCACCAAGTCGATGTCCCGGTGATAGTACCTTGCCTTCTTGAGCAACACCACTTTAAGACGGCTCAGCTCCGCCATCTCTAGGCTTCCAAGCGTCTTCACTGCGGCCTCGGCTCCTCCTCCTGCATCGGCACGTGCCGGACGTCCCAGCGCCACTCTCACAGCAGGGAGGCCTCAGCACGGGCCTCAGCACGGGCCTCAGCTTGGGAGCCATTGCTCCCTTCAACGGCGGCGCCGCCCTCTATTATTGAATCGCTCTTGCTTTGCTCTCTTAACGATCCCTTTGTTCGTCCCTTGGGACCACCTGTAGCGTGAAGAATACGGCACTCGGCCGACCCAGCCTCTTCCTTGGGGCTGAGAGTGACCTGGGGGCGGTCGGAATGGGGGCGGCCTCGGAGGTGTGTGAGTGGACCTCACTCGGCTGGAGCGTGTCTTCTTCTCACGCACACCTTCAGCTTTGGGAGATCGGCTGCCTCCCTTCTCTCCTCCGCGGTGGCGACTCCGGGATCTGCTTCGGCGCTTGTTTTTACCGTCCCGTCTGGAGCGGCTTCTCCTCTGCCTTCTTGAGGGGGACTTCTCGTCCCGGCGGTGCTTCTTGGATGAAGATGCAGGAGCAGGCTTGGAGTCCTCGACGATCTCTGCCGCATCCACTAAGTTGTCCGGATCACTCAGAGGCTCAACTTTGGCTTTCGAAGAAGTGGCTCGGGCAGGAAGTTCAGGTGGTTTGGCTTTGGCAGTCAACTGAAGGATGGAAACTTCGGCAGTTGGTGGGCTCTTAGGCTGGGAGGTGGCAGCAGACCCTCCCTTCGCAGGCAAAGGCTTCTCAGGCTTGGTCTCCTTCTCTTCCTGAGGTTCTCCTTCCGGGTGAGGCGGCCCAGACGGAGGTTGATTGGGAGATACCAGGCTCCCTTGGCGCAGCAGTGCTCAAAGATGTCGCGCAGTTCGCCCTCCAATTGCCGAATGTGAGCACTGGCAAGATTGGAGAACACGGGTGACCTAGACCCGTCCCTCACTAGGAGGCAAATCCGTCTAAGACTGGCACAAGTGGGACAGGTACAGTTGTCAGTATGTCCACATGTACCCTTAGCCGATAAGCTACATAGAAAGAGGCGAGTGTTTTCGTGTTTACCATCGTGGGACGTAAAGATATATATATATATGTATATATGTATATGTATATGTATATATGTATGTAAATATATATGTATGTGTAGACACTGCCTGCGGCCTCACCGGTGCCACAGCGTTGAAGTGCGAACATGAAAATCATACGAAACATCCATGAAACATACATACGAACCTGATAAACACATGAAACCTTCATGAAAACATAACACAGGTTTGACAAACTCAGCACCGACTCACACACCTTTGATACGATTTGATTCGCACTGAAGAGGCTGCGTTTGCTTTCGCGCTTTGTGATCCTTTGTATCACTGGGACTCGGACTGTGTCAACTGGAGTCGAACTTTAGAGATATGAAGCGGCTATGACACAAGGTTGTACCTGGGAGTAGGTACCACCCAGCACCTAATCAGCCGAAAACCTAGTGACCTCAGAGCCGAAAACATGTTACTGATTCTGAGATCCAAGCGGCACAGGGATTCCCAACCTACAACTGGATGCGTGTGCGAATCTGAGTTTACCTGCCAGTCAGCTCAGCTGCTAACAACTATGCATATATGTATATATGTATATATGTATATATGTATATATGTATATATGTATATATGTATATATGTCTATATGTATATATGTATATATGTATATATGTATATATGTATGTATGTATATATGTAGATAGATAGATAGATAGATAGATAGATAGATAGATAGATAGATAGATAGATAGATAGATAGATATATAGATAGATAGATAGATAGATAAATAGATAGATAGATAAATAGATAGATAGATGTCACTATCTAGAAAATGCCAAGCTGGAACTAGTAAGTGGTCATAAGTGGTCTGCTTTGGGGGGTGCCATTCTACTGGCCACTAATCTCTTGGCGCAGCCCCTAGTGGGGTCCCCTAGGCTTAAGGGACCAGCTGATGTCCAAGGCAACCACGCCTTGTCCACGGTCTTTCTGTTGTTGGCGTCCTGAAGTGGAGAGGCCGTCCCAAAACTGAGATTGGAAGCAGGGGAATCTTACCCAAACTAAGTTTGTTGAGCTTTTGAATGGCATCCCATCTTCATATTACCCCATCTTGCCTCATATCCTTCCATCCATCCACAGTCCTCCAGCAGAGTCGTCAGGTCGCGCTGGGACTCAGACATTCGCGACAGGTTCGATGACCTGAAATGAACAGTTGGTGTTTTGGCTGATTGGCTATGAACAAATCCAGCAAAATTTCAATGATTTTGGTATATATGTTGGTGTTTTTTTTTGAATACTGTTCACTCCCACTGGACAGACCCAGCAAAATGTCATAAAATGTCGATGGTTTTGGTTCTTGGTTGCCTCAGACATCATTTTTGTGAACCTTCGCATCATCTCAGAGGATAGCTCTTCTGTGACCTCAAGTCAGGCCTCGGGGTAACCATCGTGGTTCTTCTCATGTTATTGCCTCATTCCAGCCAAGCAGCAAGACATCTCTTGGATCCAGCATCATATTCATTTTTCGGACCTGAAGCAGGGGCCAACACCAAATACTGGGGTAAATTGGCGAAGTAAAGAGTGTACATAACCAGTTTTGAAGTGTTTGACATTTGTTGATTTGCGATCCAGTCATCAGATCCATCCTGCCCATGTAAAACTGCACCTCCAAAGGTATGTAGTCCACATTGCTGACTGGTTTCTGAACGTGACGCATCATGGTTTGGTCCAATTGTCAGAGCCAATGGTTTGATGATGGTCTTGTCGGGTTGAGAATTTCCGCAGCTCCAGATGTTGGGTTTCCAACAGAAGAGGGACCTATGTCTGGGTCAAGAAACTCTGTTGGGTATCGGAGTCTGACAAACTGGGAATCAGTAGATCAGTGTCAAAAACTCGTCTGGTCGGTTTTTTTTCCCAATCTCACTTGCAGAAATCCAAAAAGAAACGTTTGGGGATCATCTTCCAAGGACATCCCTGTAAAAGAGAAAGCGTTTAAAGACTGATCTCCAAGGAGTTCTACATGCTGGGCTCCTCCATAGCAAAAGAATTCAAAAGGTCACCCCTTTGCCTTGTTGCTTGAGCCATCTTTGCGCGCATAAAATGAACCGCTTCACCCCATGTTCGCTGGTCAACGGGCCACAGGGACTTGGCTGGGACTCGCATCACATCTTTCAACGTCTCATTCAACATTCAATGGTATGACACACACGCATACACACGCACACACACACACGCACACATATATATGTATGTATAATATATATATATATACATATATAGAGAGAGAGAGAGTGAGAGAGAGAGAGAGAGTGGGACGCCACCAGGTCCCCAAAAATACGTGGTTTTAAGAGTTTTTTGACTATTTTATGTTTTTTTCCTCTTTTGATCATATATGAAAGATCAAAGTTCTTGGGAGATGCACTGTTTTTGGTTTGTTAATCCTTAGCTCTATTCTTGGTTGCTTGCTTTTTGTAGCTCTATTGTTTTTTGATAGGTGGTCTTAGTGCATGAATGGCAAAGTTCTTTGCCCAACAACATCTTGAAACATAGAGATTCATTGTATCGGTTGGTACTTCATGTATATATTAATGTATAGGTACTACCTAGGTTTAAGGCTATTGCAAAGACAGTATATATATATGCATATATATATAGCACTTTGTATTTCCATTGGTGGTTTTTGATATTGTATTGCCAGGCCGCCTTTTGGTTGACATCATAGTTCGAGTGGAACTCTTTTAGCAAATGAAAGTGCAAATTCCAGTCTACTCTCCCTCCTCAAGTAGTTGCATTTTTTTTTGGCATACTTCATGGTAACTTGCTGCATCAATGCACAAGCCAGGCAGCCATTCCATAGATACGGTTGTTTGGTAAGGTTGCTTAAGTGTTTCCTTTACTTGGTCTTGTGCCCTTCTGGTTACCATGATGAACTTATACTGACATAGTTTAAGCTTTGCCCACAGCCATGAGTACATTTATGGTAACAAAATGTCTGCCGTTATATTTGCAGTGACACAGCAAATTACAATAGAATATGCAGGTAAAACGCCTTTTCTGAAGCAAGGGGGAAATGGAAATGCCCCTGGAATTTGCCGACTCTTGTGATCAATTGATATTTTAAGCAAAGATCTTTTACTGCATTGAAACCTGGAAGAATACCATTGCATATGCAGGAAAAATGTACAAAACGTGTGTCTGTAAGGGCATAGGTGACTTATATGCCACCCATTCCATAACTGTATATACTATATAAGAAAAATGTATATATAATAGTTGCATTCTAAGTGCAAATGCAGCTTGGATGTGTTGACGCAGCAAATGGCTATGGTATCTGCCAAAAAAAATCGCTTTATCACAAAATACCCTCTAGATATCAGTGCATGTTCGAAGCTGCCATTTCTACTGTATATATACTGATACTGCACACTTGTGACAATGCGCTTGCATACTGGTTGAAACCATTCACCCACTAAAGCACAAACAACCCCTGAAACTTTTCAAACAGTTTATAGATCAAAGAATTAAGAACAAGAGTGAGTATTGATCAAAAGGATGGAGAAGGGACCCCTTTCCATATGAATGCATTCTGGGAGCTGCTACTTCCTAGTCCAATGTGTTGTGTCATAGCTGTTTTCTGTCAAGTTTTATAAACAGTCTTTCCTCTTTTTAGGTTTACTCATCCTGTCATAAAAGATCATAAAAGCACAGCCAAGCAATTATGGTAACAGGGTACCTGGATTAGATATGCAGTGGCATAGCAAATTACTCTGAAATATGCAGGAAAAACATATTTTTGGAGAAAGGGTAAGTTGGAGCTGCCCTTACCATGTGCCAACTCTTATGAGCAAAGTCAGTTGCAACCAAAGAGTCTTTATTGCAATCAATCCTGGAAGAATTCCATTACATATGCAAAGTACATGTGGCAAATATGTGTACGTATTGGTATTTGCTACTTATGTACCATCCATATCATAGATGCATACAGTAGTACTACTACAAGGAAAATGCAAGTCCATCAATGTATATGGCTCCCTTTCCTTGGCCACCTCTCCCCTAAGGTATACACACACTATGTTTGTTTTCCCCCCTTACTTTTCCCTGGGGATCTTCATGACTCTCTGGACATTCTTTGGCAACCTTTGGCAACCTTTGGCAACCTGCCTTCAGGGAGAGGCTATGTACATAGGAGGGCTATGAGAGGGAATAAGCCCGAAAAAAAAAAAACACGTTTCTTTTCCTTGGCCACCTCTCCCCCTAAGGGAAGCCATATATATACATACACACACACTATGTTTGTTTTTCCTCCTTCCTTTTCCCTGGGAATCTTCATCACTCTCTGGACATTCTTTGGTAACCTTTGGCAACCTCTGAGGAAGTCTGACAATCTGTGTGGATCTCTAGCAATACCATCACAGGTATATGAACAGAAAGGATCGAACATGATGTAGCAAAAACACTGTAGTCCCAGAAACGTGGAAAAATGGGGACCTGACAGAGTCCTTTTCTGTATATATATATATATAATATATATCTAAATATATATATATATATTCAGTAATACAGTAACATACCCTGCGGTCTATGATCGTGGCGCTGGGATGCGCTGGGAATGACGTATAGATATTTGTCAGTCATCTCAAATGGGTGGTCTTCGATTCCGGGGCCAGCAAACCCTGACACCCTAGATTTTGCGGCACTTCAGCAATCTGAGAAGCCTTTGTTGGGATTGTTCCGATGTAAGAGCGTTTGGATTTGGAACTGCGGATCATTTCAGATATCTCCTCGTCTTCATCTCACTATGTTCCTAGAACTCGTTGGACGTTGGAATGTGGATCACCTGGAAACCACCCAGCCGCCCGAACCTGGCCTGTAGCAGGTCATAACGCTTTCCAAGTATCCACCAGCTGAAAAGCATGCTGAAAATCAGCAAACCTTGCGACATGACCTCGGCTCTGCGACTTGACAGCGACTGGATTTTTGGGCAAGCTCTAGCGTTTCAGCAGAACGGGAATTTTACCACCACTTTCTTGCGTTTTCAAAAAGAAACTAAAAATCATCAAGCTTTCCCCAAAAGTCGACCCGCAACTCAACGCGAGGAACCAAAACACCCCATCCACCCGCAACAAAATCACTGACGTCCTGGGTTTCCAGCTGGGAGCAAACTGCCCGGCAGTTGAGAAGCACACAAAGGCAACCCCACGAAAGCAGCAGCTTCGCAGGCTCCAGCACCTGACTTTTTCAGCAGCGATTGGAGAAGTAACAAAACTCTACGACGATCGGGAGGCTATAAACTGGTAGGGCAAATCGGAACCACCAACGACCACTGATGGTTAGTAGGGCGAATCTTGACAGCATTGGAGGTCAACTTTGCGGGGTTGAATCCCCATGATGTAACTTGGTCTTGCGGATGGATCAAGACCCATAAAAACTGTTGGAAGGGAGGGATGGACATCAAAAGTACCAGCTGTCTTGGGGTTAGGGGTGCCGATGAAATTCGCAAGAATTGGTCATGGACGGCCTCAAAACCTCTTGAATTTTAAACCATATATAAGCAGTTCCTCTGCTGTTGAATTGGTCTAAGTCTAAGTGTAGTATCTGACTGATCATGAATGACTGATACGGGTCACAAAGTTTCGCGGTTGTCTGGGCCAACCGCCCTGAAAATCAGGTGGATCGCATCTACATATTTGCATCCTTGCCCTCGTATCCAACAGAAAAACAGTACATCCAAAGATTGTCAAGGATTGTTGTTGGAAAGAAACACACTCTACACACCGGACGCTGCAGGTGCTATCAAAAGCACCCCATCATTCTCACTGCTCAGACCACACCTGCTAGCAGTCGCAGACCACGTCCGTTCAGGGCAAACTTGAGGGAGTCAGCTTGGCTCTCATCATCTTGTTCTGGCCACGGGCGGTGTCCACAGAGGCTATCACTCCACTCACATTTCATGATGGGTCAAGGGCGCTAGTTCACTAGGCTCGACCTCTTGTAAAACTGCCAGGGCATTGTGAAATCCCAGGGTTCACAGCTCCAACATGCCCGCGGGGTGCCTCCTGCGGTCTTCAGTTCGTACTGGGCAGCGTGTTGTGCTGGTTGTGTTGAATTCAAAAAAAGGTGGGTTTGAACCACAACAAAACATTGTATTCTCCATGACCACATCACAATAAACACTAGTCACTAGGAGAAACCACCAATCATGACATTGGTTCAATATCAAATTCAATGATTGAAGTCTCAGCACCCAGAACCAAGTTCAAAACTCAAAAGGCCAAAACTCAGCTACATGGTAAGGGAAACTGTAAGGGAAATCTGGAAAGGAATCCAAGGTAGGAACACTTCATCGGCCCACCCGCGGACAGTCTGAGTTGGCCCCACGCGAAACTGGAGGCCGAAGACCGTGATGTAAAGAAGATTGGTAAGGACACCTCAGCATTGGTGGCCATCATCACGTATCAAATTCTGCCTTGCTGCAATTTTCAAGTTCCACGTCCTCCAGTCAAGTACGTCTCTTATGATCTGTTGTCCTCGCTTCATTGAAGAAACCAAAACTATCCCGAACTCTAGCAATGTGGTAAAAGGAACAATAAACCATCCCCAAAATTACCAGAAATATGGTGCTAAAATATGCTAAAATCATTGCCAAATGGTCGGCAATTATTGGGTTTACCACATCAAACATGATAAGGTTCCACTTTGGCAAGAATGACTGGCCTTATACTGGAATTCCGAAAGCAACATACAGTCCTGCTATTTCCATCACGACAAATACAAAAACGTTGTTCAACTGGAACCTTCGTCACAGAACCAGTGGGCCAATTTTATATGCGTCTGAAATTTTTTTACTAAGGGAATCGTGTCCGACTACCCCAAATCTGAGCGCACCGGGCCAAGCATGAACGCATACTTGTGCACGTTTACAAGAAGGATCCGAAGTAGAACCTCCCCACAGAGTTGACGTCACCAACTCACAATGGAAAAGGTAGGGCCACCCATTGGCGCAAAATCCGCGCCTTGTTTGCCCCTGAGCTCAGCAAGAACGCCGTGGAGAGAAATATGTTTCTGCCGAAGTTTGTCCTTTGTCCGTGCTGTACTTTGTGGGGCGGGAGTTCCAAAACTTTGACAATAGAAACCACTCGTCCGAACATAAAGCAAAGTTTATGTCACCTGCACGGTTGCAAACAAAGTGACATGGCAGCATATCAACATACCTTTGCCAAAGTATAAAATAATAAATTATGTGTCACGTGCAAACACGCACTAGCATTTGTTTATTTATTTATCTATTCATCTAATATTTTATTCAACTATCTATCGTTCTATCTATCTGTCTGTCCGTCCGTCTGTCTGTCTGTCTTCTATCTATCTATCTATCTAATCTAATCTAATCTAATCCAAATCTAATCTAGTCGAATCGAATCGAATCGAATCTAATCTATCTAATCTATCTAATCTATCTATCTATCGATCGATCGATCTATCGATCTATCTATCTATCTATCCATCGATCTATCTATCTATCTATCTATCTATCTATACATCCATCCATCCATCCATCCATCCATCCATCTATCTATCTATCTTAGATCTAAGATCTAAGATCTAACATCTAGCCTATCCAAACTATCTGGTCGATCTAACCGATCTAATCGATCTAATCTAGTCTATCCAATCTATCTAGTCTATCCAATGGATCTAATCTATCTAATCTACCTATTCAATCTATCTAGTCTATCCAATGGATCTAATCTATTCAATCTAATCTGTCTAACCGATCTAATAGATCTAATCGATCTAATCTATCTAATCTATCTCTTGTATCTAATCTATCAAATCTATTCAATCCTTCTAAATCTATCTAAAGTATCTAACGTATCTGAAGTATCTAAAGTATCCAAAGTGCCTAAAGTATCTAGAGTATCTAAAGTATCTAAAGTACCTACACTCCCGGGAACAAACGTGTCTCAGGCTACCGTTTCAGGTATCAACTAACATGTCCACTCTATACCGGCGTTTTCCTGGGGAATGCATTGCAACTTTCTTTTTACACATTGACCCAAAAACAGCTAACATGTCTCAGTTCCTGCAATTGGGGCCCTTGGATTTCGACCCTGATCTGGGATATGTTAGCTATTTTTGGGGGATAGATTCAGCCAATAACCACTCACATATCTCAAAATCACATCCTCTGAACAACATGGACACGTTAAGTGGACGTTTTCCATGGTCAGTAACCCTTAGTAAATGCAACTGGTTTCTGGAACACACCCCCAATCTTCATATATGACGCGCTCTTCCGAGGAGTTGGGACTCTTTTTTCTGCTCGTTTTGCTATCAATGCGGTCTGGAAATAAGGATTGGAAGTGCAGTGCGTGCTCTTTCGTACCAAACTGGGACATGTTAGCAAGTTGGAATTCGGAAACAATGAACAACAAATGAGCAGCACCTGTGCCACTTCATCTCGGATGCTGGCCATGACTTTGGGGTTCAGGGAAAACAACAGTGTTTTGACAAAAATTGGGTCTTGTAAGTGCAGTCATTCCCCGAAGAGATTCCAATATCTCAAGCCACTGAATATTGGCCTTTTCAATGTGGGGTTCCAAAAACCAGTTGCATTTGGGGCCCTTGGATTTCGACCCTGATCTGGGATATGTTAGCTATTTTTGGGGGATAGATCAGCCAATAACCACTCACATATCTCAAAACCACATCCTCTGAACAACACGGAACACGGACACGTTAAGTGGACGCTTTCCATGGCCAGTCATCTAACCCTTACACCGGTGAAATCTAACATAGCGTTTTTTTTAGCCCTGGCACCAACTCACAAACATAGCATCTGGCTACGTTGTCAACCCTGGGGATTTGGAGAAAGTGATCATTTGGGTGATTTCTGCCAACACCTGCTAACATAGCCTCTGTTTCCGTCCTCCCAATGTTTGGCATTCCCCAGGAAGTGGGTAAAAGAAATGTACCAGAATAAGCTAACATAGCTGTCTGGAGACTTGTCAGAGCTTGGAACCACCAAATGGAAAGTGCTATGTTTGCATCAAACTCCACGGAAAACATGTTTTAGAAAACAGGAAACCGAACACATCAATCAATCAATCTAGAATGAAAGTACCCCTGGTTGCTAGGTTAGGTGTCTCTTTTGAGTCTCCAGCCGACCAGATCAAACCACAACTGTTTTTGGATGTCTTCCTGGGGCTCACCCTTACTGGGCCCAAAAAAGCTTCAAAATCAACAATTTTATATAATCGATTGAATAAGGAAAAAAACTCCTGGTCAAAGTTGCCAATCTGGCTACTTGCTGCCATGATGATTACGATGTACTATTGGAAGTTTGGGAACCCTGCGCAAATGCTATGTTAGTAGTCGCCTTGGGCTCACAACCTTTCGGCCAGGCCCGAGGACTTCGACCCCAAAACGGGGAAGACACAACGGGGAAGGAGTAGTCCTCGGGCCTGGCCGAGTTGTTTTCCGCTAACGCGCGCGCGCGCGTTGGCGGAAAGGTTGTGAGCCCAAGGCGACTACTAACATAGCATTTGCGCAGGGTTCCCAAACTTCCAATAGTACATCGTAATCATCATGGCAGCAAGTAGCCAGATTGGCAACTTTGACCAGGAGTTTTTTCCTTATTCAATCGATTATATAAAATTGTTGATTTTGAAGCTTTTTTGGGCCCAGTAAGGGTGAGCCCCAGGAAGACATCCAAAAACACTTGTGCCAGTCACGATTTTCAATCCAAAACCAAAGCTTTGGCAACAGGACTACTAACATAGCGTTTATCAGCCTTTCCACCAATATATGCTTCCAAAAACATTCAATCGTACTTCATAGTAGCAAGTAGCGAGATTGGCAACATCGACCAGGAGTTTTTTCCTTATTCAATCTATTATATAAAATTGTTGATTTTGAAGCTTTTTTGGGCCCAGTAAGGGTGAGCCCCAGGAAGACATCCAAAAACACTTGTGCCAGTCATGATTTTCAATCCAAAACCAAAGCTTTGGCAACAGGACTACTAACATAGCAATTGCGCAGGGTTCCCAAAACCTCCAATAGTACATCATAATCATCACCCTTACTGGACCCAAAAAAGCTTCAAAATCAACAAGTTTATATAATAGATTGAATAAGGAAAAAACTCCTGGTCGATTTGCCGATCTCGCTACTTGCTACTATGAAGTACGATTAAATGTTTTTGGAACCATATATTGGTGGAAAGGCTGATGAACGCGCGCACAAACGAACGCTAACAAAGCAGTTCCCGATTGAACCTACTTGATGCTTCACACGCGCCAAGTTAGCACCAAAATGCCCATGTCACACCATGCGTTCCCAACGCCAAGTTAGTTGAATCTCAGCCCCAAAACCCAAACACTAACATAGCAAAAAAAATAAAAAAATAAAAAAAACTTTCAACAGGTAAGATTTCACGAGAGTAGTAAATGCAACTTGTTTTTGGAATGCACCCCCAATCTTCCTGCCCACCTCCGAGCATCATCTATGATGCGCTCTTCCGGACGGAGTTGGGACCCCTTTTTTCTCCACCGTTTTGATATCAATGCAGTCTTTGATTTGAGCCCTATTGGGGTCTGGAAATAAAGATGCTGGGGCGTCCGGGGCGGTAGTCTTCTGGCAGTTTCCCGGGAACCCCGGGAACCCCCAGAGGGGGTGACAACTTTTCCACTAACATGTCCATTCTGGACTTTCAACTAACATGTCTCAAGTGTGGGGCATTTATCATAGCCTATGTTCACAGCAGCTAACGTATCCAAAAAAACTTTTTTCCACAAACAAGTGGATACGTGTCTCGGGCTACCGTTTCAGGTATCAACTAACATGTCCACTCTGTACCGGCGTTTTCTTGGATTTCCTGGGGAATGCATTGCAACTTTTTTGGGGACCATTGACCCAAAAAACAGCTAACATTTCTCAGTTCCTGCAATTGGGGCCCTTGGATTTCGACCCTGATCTGGGATATGTTCGCTATTTTGGTGGGATAGATTCAGCCAATAACCACTCACATATTTCAAAACCACATCCTCTGAACAACACGGACACGTTAAGTGGACGCTTTCCATGGCTAGTCATCCAACCCTTAGTAAATGCAACTTGTTTTTGGAATGCACCCCCAATCTTCCTGCCCACCCACGAGCATCATCTATGATGCGCTCTTCCGGAAGGAGTTGGGACCACTTTTTTCTCCACCGTTTTGTTATCAATGCAGTCTTTGATTTGAGCCCTATTGGGGTCTGGAAATAAGGATGCTGGGGCGTCCGGGGCGGTAGTCTTCTGGCAGATTCCCGGGAACCCCCACAGGGGGGGACAATTTTTCCACTAATATGTCCATTCTGGATTTTCAACTAACATGTCTCTAGTATAGGGCATTTATCATAGCCTATGTTCACAGCAGCTAACGTATCCAAAAAAACTTTTTTTCCACAAAAAAGTGGATACGTGTCTCGGGCTACCGTTTCAGGTATCAACTAACATGTCCACTCTGTACCAGCGTTTTCCTGGATTTCCTGGGGAATGCATTGCAACTTTTTTGGGGACCATTGACCCAAAAAACAGCTAACATGTCTCAGTTCCTGCAATTGGGGCCCTTGGATTTCGACCCTGATCTTGGATATGTTCGCTATTTTGGGGGGATAGATTCAGCCAATAACCACTCACATATCTCAAAACCACAACACGGACACGTTAAGTGGACGCTTTCCATGGCTAGTCATCCAACCCTTAGTAAATGCAACTTGTTTTTGGAATGCACCCCCAATCTTCTTGCCCACCCACGAGCATCATCTATGATGCGCTCTTCCGGAAGGAGTTGGGACCACTTTTTTCTCCACCTTTTTGTTCTCAATGCAGTCTTTGATTTGAGCCCTATTGGGGTCTGGAAATAAAGATGCTGGGGCGTCCGGGGCGGTAGTCTTCTGGCAGTTTCCCGGGAACCCCCACAGGGGGGAACAACTTTTCCACTAACATGTCCATTCTGGATTTCCAACTAGCATGTCTCAAGTGTGGGGCATTTATCATAGCCTATGTTCACAGCAGCTAACGTATCCAAAAAAAAAATCCACAAAAAAGTGGATACGTGTCTCTGGCTACCGTTTCAGGTATCAACTAACATGTCCACTCTGTACTGGCGTTTTCCTGGATTTCCTGGGGAATGCATTGCAACTTTTTTTGGGACCATTGACCCAAAAAACAGCTAACATGTCTCAGTTCCTGCAATTGGGGCCCTTGGATTTCGACCCTGATCTGGGATATGTTCGCTATTTTGGGGGGATAGATTCAGCCAATAACCACTCACATATTTCAAAACCACATCCTCTGAACAACACGGACACGTTAGGTGGACGCTTTCCATGGCCAGTCATCCAACCCTTAGTAAATGCAACTGGTTTTTGGAATGCACCCCCAATCTTCCTGCCCACCCACGGGCATCATCTATGATGCGCTCTTCCGGAAGGAGTTGGGACCCATTTTTTCTCCACCGTTTTGTTATCAATGCGGTCTTTGATTTGAGCCCTATTGGGGTCTAGAAATAAAGATGCTGGGGCGTCCGGGGCGGTAGTCTTCTGGCAGTTTCCCGGGAACCCCCAGAGGGGGGACAACTTTTCCACTAACATGTCCATTCTGGATTTTCAACTAACATGTCTCAAGTATAGGGCATTTATCATAGCCTATGTTCACAGCAGCTAACGTATCCAAAAAAAATATTTTCCACAAAAAAAGTGGATACGTTTGTTCCCTAGAGAGTAATCTATCAATCCATCTACAGTATCTAGCTAGCTAGCTAGCTATCTAGCTAGATCTATCTAGCTATCTAGCTAAATCTATCTAGCAAGCTCTATCTCTATCTCTCTTATCCATCGAATCTATCTTACCTATCTTATCTATCATATCTACCCTATCTATCCTATCTATCCTATCTATCCTATCTATTACATCTATCCTATCTATCCTATCTATCCTATCTATCTTATCCATCTTGCCTACCTATCTATTTATGTACCGATGTGTGTATGAACTACACATGTATACATGTCTCTGTAAAGCGATTTCTTTGGATTTGGTGATATCATGCACCTAAGGAACAATAGCTTGCCAATTTCACATCAGAAAAATGCGTGCCAATGGTAACAAAAGACATATACATACAAAAAAAGATGTGCACGTGTATATCTGTATGTGTGCATGGATGGAAGGGATGGGATGGGATGGGATGAGATGGGATGGGATGGGATGGCATGCATGTATGTAAATATGAATATATATATATATACATATATATATATATACAGATGTGGAAATACAATCATATTTGCAATTTCAAGCATGTGTATTTTTACAAGTTGACAAGTTGAAATCATGTAAATATATATATATATATGTATATAGCAAAACATGTTTATTGTGAATCTGACGTGATTAACACATATATCACAAACATAAAATCAAGCACACGGACAAACAAGTATACCTTGTAAAATCCTAGCTTGACGTAGATAGATAGACAAAGTACTAGACAAATAAAATGTACAAGAGTCACGCGTATACACATACGTCATGTAGGTATATCTACACATGTGGCATTTGAAAGATGAAGTAAAGAAAGAAAGAAAGAAAGAAAGAAAGAAAAAAGAAAGAAAGAAAAAAGAAAAAAGAAAGGAAAAACACAAACAAATTGTACATGCAAATAAGCTTCGGTGGTATCCCCAACAGCCGCAACGTTTTACTTTAATAAATCTTTCTGAAGCGTGCTGGGAAGCCGCTAGATTCCCGTGAGTTAAATGAACCTCACCTGGCTTGGCTTCTGCAACCTTCCCCGGAACCCGTTGAACCTGACTTGGCGCCACGGCTTCCTGGAACCTTCTCCGGAATATTCTGCGGAACCCTGTTGAACCTGACCTGGCCCTGCACCAAAGCCTCCCAGACCTTCTCCGAAACCTTCTCCAGAACCCTGTTGAACCTGACCTGGCTCTGCACCGAAGCTTCCCGGAACCTTGTCCGGAACCTTCTCCGGAACCCTGTTGAACCTGACCTGGCTCTGCACCAAAGCCTCCCACACCTTCTCCGGAACCTTCTCCAGAACCTTCTCCGAAACCCTGTTGAACCTGACCTGGCTGTGCCCCAAAGCCTCCCAGGCCTTCTCCGGAACCCATTGAACCTGACTTGGCTTTGCACCAAGGCTTCCTGAAACCTTCTTCGGAACCTTCTCCGGAACCCTGTCTGTTGAGCCTGACCTGGCTCTGCACCAAGACCTTCTCCAGGAACCTTCGGGATGACCTGGCTGCACCAAAGCTTCCCAGACCTTCTCCGGAACCTTCTCCGGAACCGTGTCGAACCTGACTCGGCTCTTTGCCAAAGCCTCCAACCTTCTCCGGAACCCTGTTGAACCTGACCTGGCTCTGCACCAAGACCTTCTCCGGAACCTTTTTATGGAACCCTGTTCAACCCGGCCTCTGCACCAAAGCTTCCCAAACCTTCTCCGGAACCGTCTTTGTTGAACCTAACCTGGCACTGCACCAAAGCCTCCCGGAACCTTCTCCGGAACCTTCTCCGGAACCGTGTTGAACCTGACCTGGCTCTGCACCAAAGCCGCCCCGACCTTCTCCGAAACCTTCTCCGAAACCTTCTCCGAGCCTTCTACGGAACCTTCTCCGGAACCTTCTTTGGAACCCTGTTGGGCCTGACTAAGGCTTTCTGGAACCTTCCCCCGAACCTTCTCCGGGACCTTCTCCGGAACCCTGTTGAACCTGAGCTGGCTCTGCACCAAAGCCTCCCAGACCTCCCTCCCAGCCCTTCTCGGGAGCCTTCGGAACCGTCTCCGGAACCTGGTTGAACCTGACCCGGCGCCTGCACCAGTGCACACCAGAGCTATTCTGGGCTGAAGACCCCATTAGCTTACGCTGTTGGTGAAAAAACAGGAAGCAAAAGACTTGAAGCAAAAACAAACACGATTCAACAATGCAAATGAATAAATCAAAAAACACATGTCTAGATATGTACAAGTAAAACAACGGAACAACCTGAGCAACTCAAGAAAATAACAAACAAGAGCAAAAAAAACATGGCAAAGAAAATAATAGAAACGTCATAAGCACACCTACACATATATATATATACACATAAATATTTGGATTACAGCTTATGTCCATGAGATAAACCATAAACTTGTTCACGCATCAAAATCAATATGTCTGTCTGTATGTTATGTGTCTGTACTACATATATATATATATACATCCAAGTATCAGTATAATATACATATCAAACAACAACAACAACAACAACAACAACAACAACAACAACAACAACAACAACAACAACAACAACAACAACAATAGGCACATGATTGTAACGATATGTATCCATAAACAAAACTCTTTCTATTGCACATCATGCACATCTATCCAATTTACCCCTATACAAATCTTTGTATGTAAAGAAAGAAACAGTAAACAAAGAAACACACAAACGCACTATTGTGCGCAGCTCCAACTTGCTCTGTCATGCTACAGCTGCTGAAACCAACCAGAGTAGAACAAACTCACCAATCTCCCAAGCCCCCAATGGCCAAGCTTCTCTGATTCCTCCGGGTCTGTTCGGATTCTCGGTAGCCTGGCCGGTTAGATGTCAGGGGTGGAACTGCCAAATGGCCACGGACACGAGGCGAGCCATTCAATCTCAGCCCCGTGTGCTGGGTTTGATTGAATATTGCAATAGACAGTACCACATATAAGTCATATGGGTCATGACTTTTTCACGATCGGGGCCCCAACCATGAATCTTTGCCTGATACCTAGTGGGTTGCCAAAACATCTGGCAACCCAGCTACCGAGACACATGGTTTGATTGGCAATCATATCCTTGTATTCCTGGGCGTGCTCGTATTTCCTAGTGGTTCAGACAGGCTGATATCCCCACTGCTTGATTTGTTTTGAAATCTACACTAGACTAGGATTCTCTACCCATTTGCACCATCGTTTCTCACACAAATACCCTTTGGCAATCAACCATGGCAAGGTTCCAAGCACTTTGAACACCATTGGAATCATTGAAGAATTATCCTCAGGAAATCAAACATGGCAATTGGAAATGCGAAATCCCAAAACATGGTTGTTTTGATAGAAAACTCATCTAAAAATAAGGGAATTGTCTGGCACGCCAGGTCCCACCTCGGTTGTTGAGCCCAGCCAGCACGCCTGGCGACCTGCGAAGGGGATAAAAAGGTGTACTCTGGTTCATAGAGCGGTGCTCTATTGTGCCAAAAAAACAAAATACTTCAATATCCTCAGGGCAGGCGGTGCTGGTGCGCTCTATTGAGCCAGATTGTTAAAATTCAATGTTGTTCACGAGCATGTTGTTTAGTTTTTTTGGAGTCCTAAAGGCCACCACCCCTCTGCTGCTGCCTTTTGTATCTTGCTAAGCACCATTTTGCAAAAAATGCCAAGGTTCTCCAACGAATCAATTTCATTCCCACACAATTCTTGAAGGTTGTACCCCATGAACCACCCAAATACTGATTAATAGGTTTCTTCGGGTGGTGCTCTATTTTTCTATCCCCACATCCACCGTATCGTTACAGCAGCATCTTAGGACCATGTTGAATCCTTAGAACTCCCTTTAAGTTTAACGACAGGCAAGCAGAAAGAAAGAACAAACGACAGGAAGAAAGGAAGGAGGAAATGGAAGAAATAGAACAAAGAACAATAAGGAAAGAACAAGACGAACAAGCAGAAGGAAGAATAAAGGAAAGGAAGAAAAACAGGATGAATAGAAAGAAAGCAACAAAGAAAAAAGGAAACAAAGGGAGAACGAAAGAGGGAATGAAAAGAATCATCCAATACGAACAAAGTCTACTCCTCAAAGATCCTAATAATAGATCCTCCCCCTCGTCACCCCTGAGCCCAACAAAGGAACGTGAATTGAAAGTAGCTTTACATGACTGAATACCCTTTCTTAGATTCGGATTGTTTTTTAAAGGAAAATGACCTGAACGTAGACTCAAATGAATTAAAGTCCGTACTCCTCCTCGGGATTTTGAAATAGAGGAAAATCAATTGAACGTAGATTGAAATGAGTTATAAAATCCTGACTTAGTTTCATGACCCTTTTGTTTCCCAAACTTGGTCCCAACAGACATGGTCAGTAAGTACCCCTCAATTGTCCGTGGAGAGGGCCCTACACACTAAGCAGCATCCAACAATTATACCGTATTCCATATCCGTCCATATCCATTTCCTGACCAAACCATCAATGATATTTTTCAGCTACATTCCTGTTTTGGTTGGTTCAACTTTAACCCCGCACATTGTTGGACAAGGGGGCTTATGCTGAGATTTTACCAACAAACCATCATTGGGGTTGGGGTGGAACAACCTCAAATCATCTCCCCAAATCACCATCTTTAAGTCTTTACCGGCTCTACAACACAATATATATATATATAGCACATATCTTCAAATTCTAAAATCCATACTATCCATACATCCATCCATACTACAATACTTAAGACTTCCCTTTTTTCCGAAAACGAAAATACCCAGATCCCCATCCCCCGCGACACCTGCAGTACCTTGGAGCGTCTCGCGGCCAGCACTGCGGTGACTGCGCTGCCCAGCACCACCTGTGGGGTCCTTGAGACCTGACGATGGAAAAAAAAAACACCGGAATTCTGGTGGATTTCTGAGGTGATAGATGGTGATACATTGGAAATTGCTGTAATCATATGGTTTTCCTTGGGCAAAGAACGAAATTTATGATCCAATCTGAATCTGAGTAGATTTTATCAGACGTGCTTTTTAAGGAAAGAGAATGAATAATGATTTGTCCGATGGGTGATTTGCCTGGTACATGTTGAAAAATATGATTTCGTGTACTGTACCTCAAAACCACAAGCAGCAGGATGATGCACCCTGACAAAATGTATCGATATCCCACGGAAAAACGAATAAGCCTAAGCCAGCTGCAAAAGTCTGATGCCATATTTTCTCAACTATTGCATTCACTTCATTTCCATCTGCCCATGACGTCACCCGGATCAGCGCCTGGCCGCGAGGCCTGCGATTTTGATCCAGCCGCTGTGGAGCAAAGCTGGATCGCCCTGGAGCGAGCTGAGTCGCCAGAGGGTGCTCTGATCATTTTCCGAAGCGGAAAAGCCATGGGTTTTACATGTTTACTGGAGGAAGAAACTGGAATGCAATTTGGTTTTAGATTAAATATACTTATACTGTAATAGATGGATTGAGTTGAGGATGGGTCAAAATCGATTTTCCATACGGACCGGGATGCAGATGGGCACCACGAGCTATACCTGCTATTTTTTGTGAGGAAAGCAGAGAATTCCAGAGTGAACTGACCCATACCGATTTTGGCTCATGTTGACAGGTATACACTACACACCTCTACCGTGTATGTATACATTCCGTATCTGTGTTGTTACAACATGTCACAACCCCCTCTATGCATCCAACACCTGCGAACGAAACACTGAGATTTGAGTCCAATATCCAACGGCCAGCAGTAAGCTCTTCAGATCTCTTCAGGATAGCATTTTCAAGATTTACACTGCAGTCATTCAAATCGTAAAGACTTAGCAATTGAGCCAGCCGTCCCAGAACTTTGAAAGTCAGTATATCATCCTCTCAAACATGGTTGAAAAAAATGCAGGCATGAACAGGTATGAACGAAATAGGCAAAGAGTTTCCACCAACTTTCATCCACTTCAAAAAGATGACTCGAGTTGCACCTCGGTCTAAGAAGTTGGGCGTTCTCCTCGCACAATGCTAGGAGAGGCGCGTTCTCCGACTTGGGGAGTCAGCTAAAAACATTCATTGGGTTTGATTGAAGGGAAAAATGTGCAGGTTACCTACTATGCTTTTATGTGTTTTGTTGTTTTTTTTACCACCGACAATTTATATAATGGACGGTTCCGAAGACGGTTCATGTAATGTTTGCCCCTTCAAAAAATTGGAATGATGGGCCCTGATCGGCCCCGATCCCCTAAACAAACATGGATACCCATAACCGCAAATAGCTTTGGATTGAGTCTTAATCTATTGATATTCAGTAGAGGCCCATGGTTTCAAGTGGTCTGGGAGATGCGACAAGTGCCCAGAAGGGGTTCCCACAAGAGCAGGGGTCCTCCCACCTGCGTATGGGTCAAACTATTGTTGCCAAAAACTGGATGTTCAATACCAAAACATGACTCATTGTGTGGGTCAATTGGTCCTTGAAGCCCATGCATCTGAACTCAAATGGATACTGGGCTCAGCATGCCACATTTGCGCCATGGCTGACCCAAGCTGCGGCGTCGTCAAGCGCTAAGCGCTGTGCCGGGGTTGAAGTGTGACACTGGGTGACGTGCTTTGCTGAGGACATTGTGTTGATAAATGGCTCCTGGAAGTCTGCAGCTGATTTCTCACATTGAGTGGATTGGTCAGAGATTTCCTACGCCGTTGCCGTAGGGAAGTCGCGGCCACTTTAGCCCGACTTGGACCACAACGAAGGATCAACATATGGTTCAGCGTCATGGGCAGTGCATTTTGGGCATTGAAATGGGGCCAAACTCATCCCAAATTGGTCATTTTTGATGGGGAAACCAATGGTGAAAGGGGACCCCCCCCCGATTTTCAGACACATCATTGCTACCTAAAATGCCACCAATGCTGATCATGCCGCTGCCGCACTGTTTTGGCACAAACGATGCCTCTAAGAAACATCATTAGCTGACTGTACCCTAACAATCCATCTGGTATGAGCAAAGTCAGTGGATCCTGGCGTTCTTCTATCTTGACACACAGCCACAATTTTACTTGAAAACCATCATCCATTCAAACATACCAGCGTGGAAGGTGCGGTCAACCTAGATTCTATTGATGGCTCAAGTGCGGCAGGATGAGGCCATCAACAGCCCTATCTACAATACGCCTGACAAACGACCTTGTGCTCAGCAGTGCACCGAAATGACAATAGCCAGCTCAGTGTGCCTCTGCAAACATGGACTCTCTTATATATCTCTTTACATATTCATTGCCCAACCTGGCCAATGATATCCTTTGGCAAAAATGGAGGGACCGGTTTGGTATTCCAGTTACTATCACTATCATCCATTGTTTTTTGGAAGATGAGCCCTTAATCAACCACGAACGATTTAAGGGACTATGAGCCTGGCACAGGCTGCGAACATTTTTGACAAAGGTCCTTTCAGGCAGCATCTGCAGCTTTGGCAATCGCTATCATGTCTCTCAAAAAGGTCACCGATTCGACCTGGCCAGGTGCTGATCATGAAACTATCAACTTACAAATTAAATAATTTACCATCCTGAACCATCATAAACCAAATGGAGCTGCAAAACCAAACAACTGCCCAACTTTTTTTAATTAATGTTGATGATCATCATGGTAGGTCATATATACCCCTTTCCCCATGGGCTACCCCGGTTTTTCTCATGGCTGAAGAGGGCACCTTGTGTCGCCAATCCTGCAGTCAGTTCACCGACGCCACCAACAAATGTGGGAAGATGCCCTAAAACCCATGGATGGTGCATTTGGACATAGACATATCTATGACCAATCTCACTGACTAATTAATATAACTGATAATAACATATAATAACTGTGTATGATCGCAAAAAACGGAGTCAACTCAACAAAGATTGATATGATTGATATCCGGAGATCGACCCCAGTTGACGATCCATCTCACAGATCAATCGCTTGACAGAAAGATCCACTTGGTTTCAGCCAGCAGAATTTGATGAACCCAAACTCAGGGGGACTCTACTGAACTTGGTCTGGGAAACTGGGGGATGGTCACCAATCCATTATTAGGGATGGATTTATGCAATCATTGTAAGGATTTCTACGATGGGACGGATGACCACATAAAACATATACATCCATATTATATATATATATACGTACATCCATATACCATGTTTTGACCCTAGCAGCTATCTGGGAAAAGGGACCCCAGACGTAACCAGTCCTGGGAGGCTTGCCGCTTGTTGCGGATCTGGTGAGCACCTTGACACAGCAAAGTTATCAATTTTGGGCTGGATGATATACCATGAACCAATAGATTTTGGGCTACCCCATGGACAAATCCAAAAATTAAACAGCATCAAAACACACAAAGCAATCTGACTCAAGTTGTAAGTCCGTCAGGATTTCAACAACATTGACATAAATACCCTCATGTCTTAGATCTCAGCCTGCACAGATGATACCAAATAGCAAGTTCTAAAGATCTCTCATGTCAACCTATTTGGGTGTCTCTGAAAATGCGGTATGCCCAAAACATTGTAGTCTTTACATGTCTTTACATTTTAAGAAGGAAAACGATGACGGGGTAGCCTATTTTCGATCAAACCCATTTACAGATGCGCAAGGCTAGGCTCCCGATCCCAAGAGAATCTCATCCGTGACGTAGACACTGGCCTTAGACAAGGTACCCTTTGTAGCAACCCGTGGGCAGACAATGATCCTTCGGGAGGGCCTATGTAACAGTGTAGAATCACTGTGAACCATTCATCTTGTATCATTTTGTATCAGATGATGTCATATTCTTCTGTTGCCGTGGTGGAATATAATTTTGTGAGACCATTGAAATGTGCTGCATTTTTGAGCACAGCGAAAACCAAACGGTCCCTTTGAGAAGCAAGTGCTCCATCCTGGTACTTTGTCTGTACCAATATCAATGCTGATCAACACTGGGCTTTTTGGTCTTTCCACTTCTGTACAACCTAAAATGCCATGGCGTTCGAGCTGGAGGAGGGCACTGTCGAATGGGTCCGGGTAAGTTCTTTGTTTTCTTACTTGAGCAGCCCAAGACCTTTCCGTCATCCATCTTTCACCTTTTCCTGCTATTCGGCTGCTGGGTTGTGAAAATCCCCATTGTGCCCGGCAGTATCACCCACACCAATGTCATCAAATGTCTACCTACCGGGCTCAAGCGGGCATTTCTGCCAAACCCCCAGTACTCAGCACATCTCAGCACATCTCAGCACTTCAGCACTGTGTTTGAGGCCCCCAGGCCGTGAGGTTCGCAAAGTATTCGCGCACCATACTGCCGTCTCGGGTCCACGGCGCCTAGTTCGCAAGCATTAGAAAGTATCGAGGGGAACCAGGAGTATTAATCATGTGGGAAGTGCCATTGCTGCCCCTGCCCAAGCCACTCCTGCATATGTACATCCTCGATGATGTATGCTCCTCCTGTCAGGTCTAGATGAGGATATATTCTAAGGCTGTAGATGATCTCTCAGCCAGCCAAAGTTGTCTACACATGTTAACAGCACATGTCTTCTCGCAACCATTCATCCAAGCCGAGTTTGAGCAGGACTGCCTGCCACGTGGTGACCCCATCATTGCCAAAGACTGATCCATTGTGATGTCAGGCGAGGCCACAACATGCCACAACAACAGACTCATGTTAAGAATTCCAGACCACAATGTAGGATCGGTCTTTGCAATGCAGCAAACCTGCGGTGCAGTGCCTTCTTACAGTGGAAATATGATGCCAAACTGCCAAACTAGCTTCAATCATCTTCAGTTGCGGGTATACTTTGCAACAGCAAGAGAACATGCACGGGAAAGGGGTTGCAACACACACATTCGCGCAGTTGGTGTCTGAACGGCCCTCAATGTGGGTATAGATCAGAATCCCCTCAACCGAGAATACCGGCATAGATCTGGTCGTGTCTTTGCACTAGACAATCTCGTGAACACAATCGACTCACATCACATCACATCACATCACATTGTATCAGTTCCCATTGCCCCATTGCACGTGTTAGCACCCTGCTTCCGCCCCAAAAAGGAAGCAAATGTCAGCCACGGAGTCCTGGTCGCAGTAGCTCGGGGAAGTAGAGCTCAAAGCGGGCAATCTGGTCCTGCGATCGGATCCAGGGGATCCAACCTCTGAGGGACCCAGGGACCCAGGGACCAAAAATGTCAAACGGTTCACAAACAAATTTGGCAAAAAAAACAAAGAAACTCATCCAAAACTCTAACTGCCGAGTTCTCTCAGCCGGATCGCCTTTGCCCAGTGGTTCGCATCGTCCACCACCACGTCGAAACGATCAAAACCCAAACGCTCGAGTTTCTGTCGCCCTGACACGTCCGAAGCATTGGCCTGGCAAGATCTGACCCAAAGGAGCTTGTCCACAACCCCGTTATTCTTCAACGATTGGAAGGTTGGAAATCACTGAGAACGGGGGAGGTTTCCAATCAAAACGAGGATGTCATCAGCCAAGATGCACATCGAGGAGTAAAAAGGAGTATAGAATGATCCTATCCAAATGGGGAAAATCGCCTCAGAAAGGCACCCAACCACAGCCTGGAAAGATGTGGAATATCACAAGGATCCATGTCAAATTCCTTTCCACCCCGGAAATTTCACCACCCCGGAGCTTGATGTTTGATGGCATTGACGATTTAACCAAGAAATCTACTAGCCTGTATCCACACATCGAAACATGTGAAGGAATCCGGACCCCGTGCCTCTAGGACATAAACATTGCCTGAACGAGGGACAGCGTGCTGTGCAGATTTGATGATGCCAGGATTGCACACCATGTATGAGTTTTTTCCTACTAGGTGCAAACCTCTTTGAAATTAAAGCATCGGAGACAAAAGGTCCAGTGATGCAAAGCAACCTGCGGAGAGCACCTCTGGTGAAAGCACCGTGGGCTGTCAAGACCTTGGTGGAGTGTTTTTTCCGTAGGTTCATTCATTAAACCATGGGACTCCTAAGGGAGTTTTTATGTACACTTTTGCACATTATTTTATCTTTATACTTTACGCGAATTATTTGTGGATTTGAAGGTTCTCGACTTTCACCCACAAGCTTTGTTGACGTGAAGCGGCAAATTGCATCAAATTGCCATCAATGCACGACAAATGAAACTTATGATAAACCATAATTATTGGGTACCTATTTTCAGACAAACCCATATGATCCTATATGTGTGAATTGGTTCGCTTACTACTCCATTCAATAACAAAGACGGACGACCACTGAGCTTTGCACCGGCTGACCCGTCTGAAAAAAGGTTGCCAAATTCTTGTCCACACCTCCCATGACGGCAGTTGTTGCAGGCTCAACATCATCGCTGGGTCATCGAAACAATGGATTGACTCTGTGCATTTCATAGGATCCAAGCAAACTCCCAGATTATCCGATTATTCCAAGAAAAACCGTCAAACCCATCCCTACCGGCAGGGCGGCGCAGTGCCTACCACTGTGCCTTTGGGGAAGTACTCAGACCACATGGCTAAAGAGGAGCCCATGCGCACCTCGCTGCGAGCGTAAAGTCCGCCAAAATATGTCAAGATTCTTTCGGAAGCTGATGGGCGCACCAAACAGTCCAACACAATCGCCTCTATATATACGGAATAGAGTGGGTAAAGTCCAGCAGATTTTACCCTGCTTGGTTTTAGTAGGATTCCCTATGGGCAAGGTCCCCAACCTTTCACCCTGGTGGGAAACCAGCCGGGTCCTTCCAGCTGGGGCACACCAAACTCCAAGAGGTCGCTGGTGAGCGGCAGGTGCAATAAGAAGCGCTCGTAGACGCCCAGGTAATCGTGCCAGCCGCTGGCCTGCAGCAAACCCCACACTGATAGTGGTTCACCTCAACAATTGACCAGGCCCCTGAACTAAACATTACCCCCATCAACCGCAACAAAACATTTAGCGATAAAACTGAAACATAATATGTCAAAGATTTAGAACTACAACATTTGACAAGAATACAACGTACCAACTGAACCCTGAACCCCCAAGCCCTGAAACCTAAATTTTCTCATGTTTTGAGGTCTAATTAATATTCACGTCGCTTCGCGACGGCAACCGCCCGCACCGCATCGTTCGTAACTGCCAATGATGTCGGCCATTGAGACCAAAAACATCCGAAAGTACTGATTGTCGGAAAAAAAAACGCGAAGAATTTGATAGCCATGTATAGCGGACCAACGCAGTTCAAAAAATAACGAAAAACATGAAAAAACGGCGAAATTGCTGTTATTTACAGTGTTTTTGCGCGGTGAGAAGCAGAAACCACTGCAAATACCATGGTTTTTGAGGGTCAGGTGGCCAAAAACACTGTAATTTACAGTGTTTTTTTAACCAACGTCAAAAAACACTGGTATTTACGATGTTTTCATTCACACCGTAACATAAAACAGCGTAATTTACGAGGTTTTTGGAAGTTTTGAAGCTAGCCGTCAAGCATGCAGAAAACAGAAAAACACTGTAAAAACCAGTGTTTCTGCTATCACAAAACGACGAAAATCAGTCCGAAAACGGGTCCAAAAACTCAAAAATCCGCCTCCGGGCCAGGCCACCTGCGGAACCGCAAAAAAAGATGTTGCAAACCAAAAAATTGAGGTCAAAAAGTTGAAAAACACGGGTTTTTTTTCACTTTTCGCTTGCCGATTTTGGACGGGCGCGTTCACGAACAGGTGTCTTCCGTACTGTTTTTTACAGTGTTTTTTGAAGGCGAGCGTCACGACCTATCAAAAACAGGAGGTTTTGGCCGCCCCCCCCCAGGTAAAACCTGTAACCTTTTACGAGTGCCATCCGGACGATCACGCCCCAGCACCTTCGGTCCGGCGGATTTGATTACGTTTGATCCATTTTATATAGATCATTTCAGGCATTCCCAATGCTTCTGAGCCGTGCCAGCTTCAACTGGAATTGACACACTGATGAACACACCTTGTCGCCGCTGCCAATGGTGGGGAGCTCGAAGAGGACTCCCATCTCATCCAAGGAAAGCTGGCAAGCAAGCAAGCTTTGGTCCTGGAGCCAGATCGGTGGGGTGAACTTGGTCACGGCCCATTCTTACCATCCCTGTCCCCTCATTCCCCTCATTCCCCTCATTCCCCTAATTCCCCTAATTCCCCTAATTCCCCTGACTCGACTCCGCTTCCTCCAGATCTTGACAACGACTGGTCCGAGGCCTTTTCCCAGGACCTGCACGAGATCACGATTGAGCATGGTACAGGCGCTGCAGTTCACCACCATGGATCCCGAACAAATGGCTCTCCTACAGTCATGCGCCATGGTCGTTCAATTTCCTCAGTCCCAGTGGCAACTGCAGCAAGTCTTAGTGGTTGGGGTTCCAGGCCTTCAAAGTGTCTACGAAAACTTGACCAAGAACTGGTGAAAAGCATCGCACCATCTACTTTTTGCAGATATAGGAGATGCGATTATGGCGCAAGATTGCACAATATTGGGATCTTTGAATGCTACCCTCATGATTGTTCAATCCCCGAATTGAGGGACTTAAACGTCCCGGAGATGATACAATCCCAGACCAAAATCCACATTTCAGATGATTCCTTTCATAATTCACCAAGCTAAGTTTGTTTGGAACATTTTCCTGGGCCCTCTCTAACTACCATCCATCCCCTTTTGGAAATCGACCTTGCTGACGCAGTCCTCCGCTTCGGATCGGCGCCCTGGAGTGGATCTACACCGAACACGTGTCCAGTGGATGAACATCATGGGAATCGTTGGAATCATTGGAATCTGATATCCAGTGGAGCAACATTTTGAAATCATCCATTGGGATATCAATAACCTGGATTACGTTTCATCATTGAAATACCATCAACAATCAAACCTTATCATTGGTCAAACATATTCAAATATTGCAGTTGGCGTCGCAGGTTGCATCCCTCAAACAAAGAAATTGGGGAAAAACACATGGAGGCGCTTCCGTGCCACCGGCTGGTTCTATACGAAGTAAAGTGGAACGAGTCCTTTGACATGGTTGGACATGGTTGGATATTTGCTGTTGATTTTTGCAGCTCCAACTGAAGTGGTGGACACTTTTTGGGGGCAGACCTAATCAAACAACTTCCGCAAAGGGCTTCCAGAAAGCACTCACTCGAATGGACATTTCCCGTCTGAAACCCAGAAACTAACGCCAAGATTCATGATATCCTCATGATTCTTGCTTTATATCCGATTTTTCCCATTTGTTATTACAAGTAGACTCAGTAGATATTGTTGCGGATATCACGATGGTTCACATCCCCACGATCTTCGCCGTGGCTGGCCTGGGAGACAACGGCGCGTAGCAGCAGAAATCGCGGCTGAAGGGCCTGAAGTGCATCGTTGATCCCTCAATGGCTGAGTTTATCATCTATAAAATTCTATAAAACATATCTGATGATCGAAGGAAGTTTAGAAGTCAAACTTCCGACAATATGGACAGATGAAAAGCAGAGCAGGGCAGAGGCAGAGAGAAGAGAAAGATTAGAAGAGAGAAGATCAGAAGAGAAAGAGTCAGAAGAAAGAAGATGCAGATGCGCGAACAGGTAGGAAAGTCGCGAAACACTGTGTTTTTCCCCACATTGACGTGTGGGGTTTTTGTTTTTAGTTCTGTATCCGCTCCTCCTTCTCCTTCCCGTCCTCCCTCCTCAACACACACTGACACACTCACTCACTCACTCACACTCACTCACTCACACTCACTCACACTCACTCACTCACTCACTCACTCACACTCACTCACTCACACTCACTCACACTCACTCACACTCACTCACTCACTCACACTCACTCACTTACTCACTCACACACTCACTCACACTCACTCACACACACACTAGACAAGAATGGATCATTATATGATCCGGCAGGAACTGAATCCTGAAACATGCAGATTAGATACGAAACAATGCAGGTACATTTACACGGGTCCCGGGGGGGTGTCTTCGGTGGCCACCGACCCCCCCGGGACCCCGGTGGCCCCCTGCATTAAAATTAGAATTAGAAAGGGAGAGGACAAAGGAAGAAAAAGAGAGAGAAGTTTTACATCTATTTAGATGTTACACACACACACCCGGCCGAAGCCGGGTCAACCCTGAAAGGCAAGAGGAAGAAAAAAGCGGACACACGACGGGCAGACGGCCAAAAACAGCGCAGGGGGGGAGGGGAACAGACGGACCTCCGGAACCAACCTACACGGCGAAACGGACCTGACCAAAACAGCGCACACACCTAAACCCCACAACACGTTACGGAGAGGCACGCAGGGAAAGATTAGGGACCAAATGGGGAATTAGTTGATGCCAGACAAAAACCAAACAATTAGTTAAAAAACAGGACTCAGTTCCTATACCTACTGTTCGTGCAATTGTGCCACAACAGGCCCGCATTCCAGTCAGCCACAAGGGCATAAACGGCTTACAAGTTCCATCGAATTAGATGCACAACATGTTTCACCTCACCAGATACCAAAGAGACCACACCTGCAGGAAAAGGACATGCCTGTTGCCTGTTGTCTCACATGTAATGCTGAACTTCAAAAGTGCGAGCTGCAGTACTAAAAATGAGGTTTTGGTGGTTCGGAGTGGCTTCACTCAAAAGAGATGCATTCCACTGGGTGCCTAAAGGACAGCCGGAAACGCGGGACTTCACAAAGAGGTGCAAAACGGAAAGGCCAACTGTTGCGATTTACTTAGATGAATTACTAAATTAAAATGTGTTAATTCGGCAGTCAGGACAGTCATCACTCACCCTAAAGAGGGTTGCCTCAAATGGCTCCATGGCACCATGTCGGAGCCACCATGGAAATCACACTAGACAAGAATGGATCATTATATGATCCGTCAGGAACTGAATCCTGAAACATGCAGATTAGATACGAAACAATGCAGGTACGTTTACACGGGTCCCGGGGGGGTGTCTTCGGTGGCCACCGACCCCCCCGGGACCCGGTGGCACCCCTGCATTTAAAATAGAAATTAGAAAGGGAGTGAGGACAAAGGAAAAAAGAGAGAGAAGTGTTTTTTTCGTTGCTGCGCAGTGTGTCGGGGGCTGGGGTCAGTGTTGGGAGGCGGGGGGGTAGGCGGGAGGCGGAGAAGAGCAAGAGGGGGGGGGCTTTTTTTTTCTTTTGTTGCCGGGTCCTTTTTTAATTTTTTGGTGTTTTTTTTTCTTTTTTATCGATCGTCGCTTATCCAGTTCCCGGCTTCTTTTTTTCTTCTTTGTTTTGATACTTCTTTATTTTTATGTTTTGGTGTCGTTTTTACATCTATTTAGATGTTAAACACACTCACACACACACACACTCGCACCGCCAAGGGGATAGGAGATGTACGCCTGGCGACCTTTGTCTGCCTCGTTTGCGTGGCAGGCGTGGGACAAAGTGCACTGCCAAGGGGTCGGATGTACGCCCTGGCGTCCCTCCGGTGTCCCTTGGGCTCCGCCGCTTTTGCGTGGCAGGCGTGGGACAATGTGCACTGCCAAGGGGTCGGATGTACGCCCTGGCGTCCCTCCGGTGTCCCTTGGGCTCCGCCGCTTTTGCGTGGCAGGCGTGGGACAATGTGCACTGCCAAGCGGTCGGATGTAAGACAGGGGGGTTACGCTGGCGTCAATGGGTTCCGCCTCTTTTGCGTGGCAGGCGTGGGGGACAATGTTGCATGCCAAGGGTGTCGGATGTAGCCGGGGGGTTCACAGGTGGCGTCCCGGGTCCGCCTGCTTTTTGCGGTGGGACAGGCGTTAGGGACATGTTGACACTGACACAAGCGGTCGGAATGTGTACGCCCAGGGGTTCCGTTGGCGTCCATGGGTTCAGCCTCTTTTGCGTGGCAGTGGCGTTAGGGACAATGTGCCACTGCCACGGGGTTCGGAGAACTGCCAAGGGGTCGGATGTACGCCCCGGGGTTCCGCTGGCGTCCATGGGTCTCCGCCTCTTTTGCGTGGCAGGCGTGGGACAATGTGCACTGCCAAGGGGTCGGATGTACGCCCCGGGGTTCCGCTGGCGTCCCTGGGTCTCCGCCTCTTTTGCGTGGCAGGCGTGCCAAGGGTTCGGATGTACGCCCCGGGGTTCCGCTGGCGTCCCTGGGTCTCCGCCTCTTTTGCTTGGCAGGCGTGGGACAATGTGCACTGCCAAGGGGTCGGATGTACGCCCCGGGGTTCCGCTGGCGTCCCTGGGTCTCCGCCTCTTTTGCGTGGCAGGCGTGGGACAATGTGCACTGCCAAGGGGTCGGATGTACGCCCCCGGGTTCCGCTGGCGTCCCTGGGTCTCCGCCGCTTTTGCGTGGCAGGCGTGGGACAATGTGCACTGCCAAGGGGTCGGATGTACGCCCCGGGGTTCCGCTGGCGTCCATGGGTCTCCGCCTCTTTTGCGTGGCAGGCGTGGGACAATGTGCACTGCCAAGGGGTCGGATGTACGCCCCGGGGTTCCGCTGGCGTCCCTGGGTCTCCGCCTCTTTTGCGTGGCAGGGCGTGGGACAATGTGCACTGCCAAGGGGTCGGATGTACGCCCTGGCGTCCCTCGGTGTCCCTCCGGTGTCCCTTGGTCTCCGCCTCTTTTGCGTGGCAGGCGTGGGACAATGTGCACTGCCAAGGGGTCGGATGTACGCCCCGGGGTTCCGGCTGCGTCACCTGGGTCTCAGTCTTCTTTTGCGTGGAGGCGTGGGACAATGTGCTATTGCCAATGGGTCGGAATGCCACGAAAGGGGTTTCCACGCTGGGTCCCTGGTCTCAGCCTCTTTTGCGTTGGGCAGGCGTCCGGCTCCTTCAAAAGGGACAAGTGTGCATGCCAAGAGGGTCGGATGGCACGCCTCGAGGGTTCCGCTGGGTCCCGGGTCTAGCCTCTTTTGCGTAAACAAAGAGGAAGGAAAAGGGGGGGGAGGGAAGAACGGAGACTGAAAGGGAAGCACACAGCCACTGACCATGAATGACTGCTGACTGAGTGACTGACCACTGACTCACTCACTCACTCACCGACTGACTGACTGACTCACTGACTCACTCACTCACTCACTCACTCACTGACTCACTCACTGACTCACTCACTCACTCACTCACCCACTCACTCCCTCACTCACTCCCTCCCTCACTCACCCGCTCACTCACTCACTTCACTTCACTTCACTTCACTTCACTTCACTTCATTTCATTTCACTTCACTCACTCCCTCACTCACTCACATACATCATCATCATCATCATCATCATCATCATCATCATCATCATGTGCCAGCGATGTTTACCAGCCACAGGGCATGCAGAAAGAGTTCACAAAATGTGCGGCTGCGCTCGAAAGAGTGCAGAACATTACTTTGGTCAGCGGAAGTATGGTGAGCA